TAATAATCATTATTTATGTGAAATTTAGTTTAATAACTTGTGTGAGTAGCACAACGGTAGGATACTTGCCAACTACGCCTCATGTGGTCCAGGGTTCGACCCCTAGCCACCGATGCACTCCCTTACCTCACTGATCCGGAAACAAGACTGCTAAAGAGAAAAGGTTGAGAAACTACAGAAACTTCAAGCCTCTACCTTGAAGCCCTATGTTCCACTGTGAACGTTAAGGAATAAAAAAGCATAATAACTAATTTTGTAGAAAAGGAATTTTAAGGGATCTATTTAATCATCCTGGTAAAATGTCGTACGGTTGCTCAGCATTCTTTTTTTTATTACAGTTTGATTCCACACCGTATTTTTTGGTACAGGTATGGAATTTTCAGCATGTGATATCGGTAGCCCAAATTTTGCAGGCCGACCATAGATATCAGGTGTGCGTCGGCAGGGGATTGAACCCCGGACCATATGCATGGTCGGCGAGAATCCTAACCACTACCGAGAAGTAAATAGCTTGTGGTGTTGAGTAGGTTTCATAAATTTGGTTCCTTTGATCAATTTCGATGGAGAAAGAAAGACCAGATTTGTAGTATAAAATAATATCATCATTCTATTTCACAGGTTTTCATCAGCTACACATCAATACCTGAAATTACAATGGTTATAAATAATGACATTTCATACTTCAATGTTTGAAGGCTAATAGAGAAAACATTATAAGATGAACGCATCCGGAATATAAGTTCATTAAATCAAAAACTTTCTCAGTGAGCTGAGCTTAGGTGTAGGTTTCTGGTAGGTTTCTTGGAATATGCTCTGAAAACCGAATAAAAGTCCTTCTTTCTGTTATTCCCATGTACTTGCTGCTGCAGGTGCACGTAAATTTATAAATGCAGTTGGAGGTAATATCAGCAGGGTACTAATCCAGTTTCGATTGGCTTATAGAGCGTGTAGTGCTGTATAGTGTCATCAGCCTGGCTGCAGGAAAGCATCTCTTTATTGCTCCTTTCATCCTCTATTCAATCTTTCGTGATACTGTTTCTCCTTCAAATTGGAGGCAAATGAACACTTTCTTCTTTTCAACTGTTGAATACTTCGCTTTTTCGTCTCTTTCTTTGCTGTCATTTAGGATGAATCCCTTTGAATACCCGTTCTCCTTAAGGCTTTTTTCAACAAACCTTAATTCTTCTTCTGTCTTTTTAGGCGAACACAACTTTTTGACCCTGTTGTACAGTGTCCTTACTAATCCCGCTTAAAGCTTATACGACAGAAGCTGTTGTAGTGAAGGTATTGTCCAGTCCAGGTTTCTTTTCTGTAGATGAACATTTCAACCGTTCCATAGTTTCTTCTTTTTACATTTAGGTCGAGGAAATTGAACTCGTCTTTGTGTTCATATTCCATGATGAATTCAATGTTTGTGTGGATCTCACTGAGGCGGTCAAATAATACGGCTGCCTGAGTAGGTGTACGTTTAGAGTGCGTTTTCGTTCCTCTATAGCTGGTAATAATATGAATACTACACTTGACTGGATCAGTTTTTTTATTGCAGTTTTGTAAGCGACACTGCACTGCATTCAGATTTGTACACATCGAACAAAGACCTCCCCGGGGGTTAAGCGCAGCTTATATTTTGTCTCATTCGATCTTATATCTGAATGTAGAGAGTGTGAAACCAGAAATTGATTGTGATCTGATAGTGATCTGAATTTGTGTTAGACAAATCTTCATAATTTTTTCTTTAGTATTTCTTCTTCAAGAGAATAAATTAACACATCTAGAAGACTAATTGATGAGCAAAGATGATTATTTCAGAAGTCATTAACAACAATAATGCCGTTTTAAACTACACATAATCAGTATTATCGACAGGTGATCACATTTCAAAAGCATCAGTAAGAGCGAGATAATATGCATTAATTTGACACTAAGATCGAATATCAGATAAATTAGAGGGTAGTAACACAGAATTTATGAATTTATAGTTTGGGACAGCAAGCTAAGGTAGCGCTAGTGGCTGGGCCTGTTTCTTTCCCATTGCAATGGTCTCTGTTGTTTCCAGTGTTATGTATCTAGTGGCCAATTAGTAACTTATTCAATAAACGATAGATGATAGAGAAAGATTCTTCATTGTGGCTAGCCTTGTGACTTGTCTGAACGAGGTGATTCAATATAGAACTGCTGATGGATTAAGTAACATCCTTATTTAACCACACTGGTAGGTGTGGTGTTCCCGATAACTAGAGAATAGGTCCTTACAGGTACGGCCAATATAACTGGCTCAACAAAAGTAGTTGAAATGATAGATACAGTCAGAGGTGGCTAGCTTAGTTACTTCATCTTTCAGGTTCAGAATCACTACTGGTTGTGTAGAAAATACAATGCTGTGGCTTGCTGGCATCAAGTGTTATTTCAGTCGATTTTCTCAGCTTGTTGGTTACTGTTTCATCACTTGGTATATCACCTTTGAACTGTAGTCGTATATGCATGTATACGGGTATTCTCTTAACAGATACTGAAGAATTCATTTCTACTTTTTTGGCTATGTGTTTCGTGATGAAATTTTCAGGGTAGTTGTTTTCACTTAGTGTCATATAAAACATGAATTTCGTTTTAGACCGCATCTTCTTAACAAATAGCTTTGAATCTATATTTTACACTGGAGGGGTAAAAAGTTGTGAAAATATGTAGGCAAATTATTTTTCATATTATCGTCTTGTTTTCTTGCCAGTAGGATGTCTAAAAAACCAAATATACTTTAAGATTCTTCTTGACACGTGAATGTACTTCATTGAATTGAGATATTATTGTGTTCTTGTGCAAATCATTTTCACAAAGAATAAATCTATCGTGTATATACCGATAAAAAAGTTGATTCAATATCGAGACAATCAAATGTGACTGATTCTCTGACTTCGCATCGGCAAGTCATACTTTAGTTGGTAGTTATTAAGTCATAACAAAGACCTTTAGCCTTCTTTTTGGTAAAATGTGGCATTCAAGATTTCTGGAGTAGATTTAATCCGAAAAAGATTGCATAAAACCAAATTCTAACTGGAACAGCTTTCCTCAAAAGTTAATTTTATCTCTTAAATCCAACAACCAAACCTCAACTATAATGATTTTGATGGGCACTGACACCTATATATATATATTCCTTGAATGGATGCCTCGATATTAATATTTTATCCAAGCTGAATCAATTTTGTTTGCTGACTATTTGTAATAGACTCCATCCCACTTAGTTAGAGACTGATGAGTATGAGATACCTGGTGGCATTTTGCCTCGGATTCAAAGCTAGCACCCATCATATCATATAATAGACCTTTTGTGCAACGGATAACACTTTGGTGTCTACCACTTTGCTTGACGTCTCCCAAACGGGAATAAAATGCATGTCCTGGATTTCACTACAGGCTACCTACCATCAACCAGGTGTCATCATTTCAACAGACAAAATTTATTTTGATTGGACACTAATAACTAGTATGATGTGTTTAGTCCTTCCTTTGGTGCAGACTGAATTCTATCAGTCAGGTTTGCAATGTGGCCAACACCGTTCTAGGTAGCTCGCCATCACAGTACGGCAAACAAAGGACTAGATACGTCACACTAGTTAGTGGTGGCTAATCAAAGTACCCACTTCAGTCTTTGATAGGATCCCACATATTTTGGTATTGACTGTTTAATCTTGCATATATGGTATGTTAACATTCTCACACATTTTGGTATTGACTGCTAATTTTGTATATATGGTATATTATCATTCTCACACATTTTGGTAGTGACCGTTAATCTTGTATATATGGTATATTATCATTCTCACACATTTTGGTAGTGACTGCTAATCTTGTATATATGGTATATTATCATTTCCACACATTTTGTTACTGACTGTCAACCTCGCACATATGGTATATTATCATCTCTCACGCACTTTGTTATTGGCTATTAAGATAAATTATTTCAAATGCTGTTAGCTGTCCATATTGTTGTAAAATGTATAAATACCATGGCTTTCTTTATCGTTGTTGCACTTCAATACACAGTCACAGTCCAGCCTTTGTCTTTTGATATTTGCGTGCTTTACTAAATCGGAAGGTACGACAAGCAGATAGGCAGATTAGTTCAGGCGCAGACAGAGCAAGGTGAAAACGTCTTCATTGAATTCCCTACAGTTATAACAGTCTTACAGGAGGTGAATCGCGAGCCTGAATAGCTCAGTGGTGACGTCTTTGACTGCAGCGTCGGGTGATGAGGGACATGAGTTCCTTGAAGGTTGCGAATACGCCTTGCTGGCTAGCGAGTGCCAACTAGCACGAAACCTAGGTCGACGGGTTACTGCCGATTGCCCTCAATTATTTAAGACAAAATGTATATAAAATAGGGAAAATAGAAGTAAAAGCCGAGAATTTTCAACAAATGAATAATGAACGCTTCACGATTCAACTGTCCAGCTCAGGTATCAGAACAACACTGAATATGAATGAATTATGAATGATTCCATACCTCTGGGTACCTGGTACTCACTGGTGATGCAGATAAACGCAGTTGAAGAGGGTTCAACACGGGGTACACACTCGTGTTCTGAATTCCATTAGTAGGCAATATCAACTAAATCGGTTGATCTGTAGCATTAATTTTGATATGCAAACTGTTGCTCTCTAGCAGCGAGAAATCTAAACTTCTGTTGGCTTGTTTTTCACAACTGCATAATTCGTTTTTCCTAATAAAGGTAATATGATCTTTTAAAAATAAGCTGCATTTCAATCGGACGCCTGCACTGTATAACTAACCATATTTGTAATGTATTGAATTAAATTTAAACAAGATAGCATCATTTCTTCGTTACATTGTTTCATTTTCGTTTGTACAGATATTTTTTAATATATACATAGTCTTGTCTTTAAACCACACGAAATTGTTGTAAACTATCAATTACACCATAAAATCCTATAAATACTTAGAGCAGGAATTACTTTGGTGGGATTTATGCAAATGTATAATGAAGATTTGTATACTTACAACGTTCTTCGTTGTCATTATTATTTCTGTTATCTCTCACAGTCGGAGTGAACGTATTTGTAAAAGGCCGATAACAAAGCACTTGGTAAGTTGTAATCTTTGTTCTGCTTTGCCTGAGATTTCTTTTCTCACCTCATCTGTCCTCTATTCAACCTATTGTCTCTTTGTCTTTTTCCATTGTCATAGAGGCATGCTGTTCTCTCTTCGACAGTGAGTAAACGAAGCTATACGGAAACTGGTTTGAGATTCGAAGTTGTCTACTCTCAGAATGTCATCTCCTGGAGTCGTTTCCACAGTTTTAAGGTAATAATTGAGGTGTTTTGTTTAGTTAATTAAAAGTTGTTTTTAAAAATGAATTTTGAAGTTTTACAAACTACCGACTGAAACCTGAAGAGTTACTAGAAACCTTATCATCTTCAATAGCATCAATCGATTATCCCATAAAATTAAAAATCAAATTTTAGAAAAAAACACAACAGTAAACACAGACTGTTAGAAGAAGTCTTCAAAAAATAAACAGCTAAACATCGCTAATCGGCAGAAGGTGGAATTCGTAGGTTATCAAACCGGGTTCTAGTGACTGAACTGTCTGTCTTTAAGCTCGTCTTGTAACAGGAAGTTCTTGGGATTGAGTCTGATGGGTGGTTACTGCTGAAAAGTCCTGAACTAGGACGAAATAGCTGTCCAGTACTCTATGGCTTTCCAGAAGGCTCTCTAACTGACTTCAGCTCCTGATCAAACCTGTATATAGCTAAGAGTCACGGATAACAGTATATACATATATGTATATATACATATATTAAGATTACAAGACTAACGTTAATGACATTCGGTTGTTCACAACTCTAGGCGGCATCAGTGGTTCGCCAGCAGAATTCCTGTCAGAAGGTACAGGTTGAATTCCTGGCTGCATGGAGGATTTCATCATGAACTTACACGGCTAGAGAACCACTGGAAAACCTGGGAGTACTGGACAACTGACTCTTTATCAGTACGCACCCGCCGGTATTCTAACCCGAGACCTTCCGCTTACAAGGCTAGCAAGCTCGTAGACCACTGAGCCACTGGGACTCACTCCAGTGGTCCTTGAATTCTAACTTCTGGTTAACAAGGCTACAACACTGTCTTCGTGGAAACATGGAAGCCTTAAACTTTAAGGTCTCTGCTGCAATGGGGACGCAAGGAATGTAAAAAGGGTTTTAGTTCTGAGTTACATACAATTTAGCCTCAAGACTTTTAGATACTGTTAAGATTCCTTCTGATGCTGCTAGTTAAAAGCTAATTTTAGCAATAACAGCCAGAATACCACTTTCACTGACTTCGCCTAAAGTTAGCACACTAGAGAGTGAAGTTTGTTATAATCAGCGGGTGTAAAGTAAATAGATGTATGCACTTCAAGGTAGGCTATAATCATGAATCAACATTTGTTACAGAATTATTAAAACATGGGGAGCACTGAATGGATTTGTCGTTTTGTCACAGCTTTCTGGACTTTGCGGCGCTCTGATTCATGATGAAATCTCCTGTCAAACTAGATCAGATTCTCAAAGAGACTGAACATATGGTTCACGTAAGGGAAAAACTGTTAAGATGTAATGTGTATTTGATAAGTGATTTGTGCAAAAAATAACACGAAGTATAACTATTCGACATAGTCTCAGACTGGTAGGGAGATGTTTATGTCATGAGTCGTGACTGCAGTAGAGATGAAAACCCTTTTCGGTACTTCAGGACTGCAAAAACTGTTCCACAGATGGTTATTAGTCCAACGCTTTACCAGGTGAGTTATACGACCCAGTTGCTATCCAAGGAATCATTTCACTCAAATAATAAAAGCTTATGCCCAGCTGTTATGTGATTATCGCTAGGAACATGATCTCTCGCTGCCTTCTAGGTACATGTGACCAGAAGGTAAGTTCAAAATGTAACAAAATGCGATAACAGACTCTGGCTACTTGGAGGCCTGTTTAGCTCATTAGGCTATCTAATTTCCCATCCATCGAAATGTATCCTGTATACTCGATTTCAGATTGTTTTAATTATTCATTTACGATCATTCTTCCTTTGGGTTCCGAGTGTAGTATAAGCCTTCAGAAGCAGACTGCTACTTCCTCTTATCCTGTACAGACATTCTTGCAGCTAGCTCTACAATCGCTCACAAACTTTTGCTTCCTTCTCTCACACGGTCCCCACTATATCACCCTCGGATTCATGTTGAACTCGTCTTTTCCCGTGTATGTTTTATTTGAGGTCCAGCATGACATTTGATCTCATTCAATGCTCTCCTCAGCACATGTTCAATCCATCTACATTGTTTTCTGTATATTTGTTGAGCGAAAGGTCGTTGGTTGGTTCTCCATCTGCCAGCGTTCAATGCTGCTTATCCTTTGCCATCTGATCATCAGTATCAGCCAAAGGCAAGTAACCATGAAAGCCGGCAGCAGGCTATTAGAAATTCGTTTGGTGACGCGTCAAGTCTCTGAAACACATGGAAGCTCTGATCTGAGTGTAGTGGATCTCGGTACTGATTTCAGTATCTGATATTCTAAGACCGTAGGATTAATATCTGCAGAAGTTTAACTTAAAAACTTTAGTGAACTTGTTTTAGTGTGATGGTATCCTGTCTGAATTGCGAAAACGTCTGTTTCAAAGCAGGATAAGAAGAACCAGCCTCCGTTCGACTGACCCTGTCTTACTGTGATTAGAACTTAGATAAAGACAAACTAGATCAGTAGCGAGTATAATAATGATGTTTAAGACGGACAGAAACTATGGGCACTGGTTTCCAGCCTCAGTGAGAACATCATCACTCACTGTGGAATGCACGTACGCCCTGATGACGAGTCATAAATAGGAGGAAATGCGCATCCTGGATTCCACTGCTAGTCACTATCCGCCGATTAACTTAAAGTTACTTATTTCCCATTGGAATGGCAGCTGAGCGGAGTCTTTATTGAATGAAATAAAGTCATTGCTTATCTGCCAATAGAGTCTAATAATTCAAATGGTACAGCTTTAGACATGCATATAGGGGCTGTGTTTTTCAGCCTTTCCTTAATCCGGATTTTCAGCTGGAATATCGAATGTCACAGAATTACACAAGTATCATTTATTTATGTTGTACCGTTTTGCCCGATAAAATAATTTGTTTCTTCACAATATTTATATGTTTAGCCCTAACTACCTATCTACAAGGTTAATTTTCATCCTTGAAAATGATCCTGTCAAATTAAGCTCGATACTACCTTTCTAAACACAAGAAAGGGATGGTTTCGTAATGGTAAATAATTCCACAAAGCCATTGACACACAGAATTCTTCATTGAACATTGGAAGCTGACCTTCATTGCATAAGTTGACTTGTTAAGCTGGAGGCTTGTAGGCAAGCGTCCACGCCATTTGGCAAGTTGTTGTGTTATATTCCGTCGTTGATCCACAGTCTTAAGCTAGCTGAGCGATCATCATCACATCACATTTCGAACAGTTTATCCAGAGTTGTGGTTTATCTTTCATCTAAACATAACAAGTAATGTAGAAGTTGGAGGATAAGAACCGGCTTTTTTATGTAATGTATTAAGTGTAAACGTCAACATCACTTCATCCCTTGAATTTCTCCCGAAATTATATTATTTGTTGTTCAGAGGTCTTTTTTTTCCTATGTATACCGGTGCGTCGGTGATGCAGCGGCAGAATCCTCGCCAACTATTCATTATGTCCGGTGCTCCATCTCCACCCAACTCACTCCTATTCCTCGCCTAGTCCATAGTATATCAGGTAAAGAGGGAAGGTTTTGCGTGGGGTTAGCAACCCTACCCCGTAAAAGTAAAGCCACTGCTACAGAAACTTCAACGCCGACCTGGTGGAAAAATGGTAGTGTGATAACACCGTAACCCAAAGGTCCTACATTCCATCATTGGGAGGTCATGCGTAAGTAGTGCTGAAGAGTTGGAACTGGAAATAAAAGGGCTACCATTGATCTCTGTTTCCCAAAACGTTATCTCAATGATGTTGATTCGTGGTAAAGGCTACCTTGAAATAACGCCACTAATTTATTCATACCTGTTTAATAAACATTCGCTTGGTCAATACTCAGTCAGTAATTTTCAGTTTTATCCTTTTTTATTTCATAGATGTCAGTAATGGACGCTGCAACTGGATTTTGGGAGAAGTCACTGAGTGTCAAAGAACCTTCAGGCAAAAATTCACTGATTAAAAGGTGAGTTTCACAAACATTTCAACTTGATTGGTTGAGGTATTTACTGAAAGTTATTTCAGCATTTGATGTAATTATCATGAGCCTGTAAGTATTATCCCTCCCTTGCGCTCCAAGTATAACATAAAACTTCACTACAATTATCCCTATTCTACTCACGTCCTATTCATCACTTTAAACTGGCCCCAAGACTATCTGAAACTTCGCATTTCCCCTTACGTGGTCTTCTCAATACAACTATCAGATTCATGCCAAGACCATCTATCCCCTTTTCACTTTCCACAACGAGGCTAGAATGATTTTTGATATTATTCAGTACAGTCCATCTTCATTGCCTTTGCGCTAAAATCACAAAATGGTAGAAGTTAAAGTTTCCCGGGCAATTGAGTCGAGTTTCGGTGGCTGAATAATAAACGAGCGCCTGAGCTCGAACCCTCAGTTGTTGCGTACTGTCGATGAATTCCAAGCTAGTTTGAAATAGCTGTCCAGTACTCCCTGGTTTTCAGTGGTTCTCTAACTGATATCAATTCGTGGTCAAACTTCTGCATTTCTGTTGTGTAACGCGTTGTTGGCTGGTTCACGTGGGCTGCCTGAGTTCCTTGTTCTTTATTACTTTCTTCAAACATTTAGGGACCATTTTTTCAACTACAGGTGACAGCGTAGATTAAGATTTCAAAACCACAATTGGAAGAGCAAGGCAGACTTTTGTCACTCTTAAATCAGTTTGGAAATCCACCACATTCAGCATAAACCACAAAATTCGGATTTTCAACACCGATGTTAAGCCATTCAATTCTTCTATATGCGTCAGAAAAACATTTCAATGGGCTAATGCAGACTTTTATCGACAACTGCTTCGCTGCATACTGAACGTCAGATGGACAGGAAAAATCAATAACAAGCAACTCTGTGAAACAACCGACTGAGGACCTATTATTATTATTATACATGACTAGTTCTACTGTAACGCAAACATTGTCTGGAAAATTCCTCCTGTATGCTCCAATCACAATATTTACAATCAATTGGACATTTCAGCTAACGTTTTAATTATTATCCATTATCCTGCTGTAACATTTGCATATGATCTCTTGACTGCATCTTTATCACTTGTCTTTGTCACCGTTTAATCTCTAATTTTAATGCTTCTCTTTTCGGTAATGTGATGACATTGACCATGTGTTGTTTTCCAACGCTATTTTGTTTGAGTAAATCAAGATGGTTCTGACTTTCGAGGGTCCGAGGGAAGAGTTGGTGAGTGATTCTTGACGACACAGTTTCGATCTCACCTCATTGAGAATATTCTACTTGATTCTAAGTGCTTGCCTTTGTAATTAGAAATCTACCTTGTTTGTATAATTACCAAGTGGAACTATTGAGTGCAAAATATAGGTTGCTGTCTTTAAAGCCTTTTGTGACTGTACATGTCTAAAGGAAGTTTTAATGAGTTATGCTACAGGACGGGTTTGACCGTAACAGGCGTCAATAGTATTGATTTCTATAATAGGCGATAGATGATTGATAGAGACAGTGATTCAGTATGGCAATATCAGTGGTATAATAAATACCAAGTAGTACTGATTGAGACAGATAGTGTGAAACACGGTTGGTATGTCAGGGGGACATCTGATCAGGAAAACATTTAACAGAACACTTAAAGTTAGATTGAAATTATATCAGTTATGCAAGTAACCTAAGGCTTTTGAAAATCAGGCGAAATTTAGATAATAAGAACAGAAGATATAGATCTGTACTTGTGTGGAATCCTTTTTAAAATGTAAGTGTTCTGTAAAAATCTGTTTTTTAAGTCACAATCAAAATTCAGTAAAAAATAAACACCGTGTTTTGTTTACTCATTATTTCTTATTGAAAAGGAATTGTCTCTATGATGTTGGTTACGTGAATGCCGAAAACGATGCAGTCCATTGTAATAGATGTTTAAAAGAAGTTACTTGTGGAAATTATTCAATACCAGCTAAATATTTGACGGTAGGTCGAAAAAAATTTTACCCATAACTTTTGTCATCGTTTAAAGTGGAGGTGTACTGCTGAATTTCTATGTTGCACTTAGAATCCAAGAGACTAGTGATTATGATCGGAAATAATGACAGTTTTATCCTGGACAAAATATCTACGCAATGTATGGAATTCGCAGCCTAATGGATTACATAATGCTTTCTCTTCATCCAGTGACTTGGGATAAAATGGTAGTCACCAGTAGGTCATGTGACACAGTACTGTTTGATTCAAAGTACTGACTAAGCCTTTATGACATTTTCCTTCATCTCCGAAAGATTCTCAATAGTAGTATTAGTTTTTATTAGATGGTTAGAGGCGATCGGCAGGAGGCCCAGCTGGACCTAGGTGTCGTGTTACTTAGCACTCACTAGTAGGCAAGGCGAATCTCCAACCTCGAGGAACTCATGCCCGTTCTGAGATTCGAACCCACGTCATTCAGTGCCGCCTGCAGTCAGAGAAAGACGTTACCACTGAGCTATTTGGGCTCATGACTGACCTCCTGTAGGACTGTATTGGATATTTTTGATGAACACTAGTCAGTAACTAGTGTAATGTGTCTAGTCCTATCTTCGGTACAGTCTGAATTCTATCAGTCAAGCTTGTAGTGTGGCTGCAGTGCTGCAGCCAAAGACGTTACCATGAGCGTGAGTATATTTCTCAACTCAAATACCCAGCTGAATAATAAAAATAAAAACTGAAGTAAAATATGATGCATTGTGTTGAGTTGCGGCACTTCAAGTAGCCCAGTGATTCAAGCAGGTCACCAGATATATTATTGTTAGGCTGTTTCAACAGTGAATATAATGGACGTTAAAAATATATTTTCCGTGGAAATTTTGAATGGAGTTATTGACTTATTATAATAAAGGATTTTCGTATTTCCAATGAATAAAAAACAAAATGATATTGCTGTTTTTACTGACCTTTCGCTATTTAATGCTGCCGCTAATAGATTTATCGAAATAGTAATATTAAACCAGAATTTACAAAATCTCAGCCTATATGTAAAAACTTGATCACTGTTCCTCAACATGGAGCAATTTTTAGGAGTGGGTATGCTTGAGAAGATGTTATCTTCGAATTTATTCATGAAAAGGTCAGAGACATTTGGGGGAACTGGTGAACCCACATGTAGATGATAATTTTGTTAAAACGAGATCTACACAGTTCATTCTTAGAGAAACTGAGGAGTCTATATCCCAATATCCAGTTTACTCCGGAAGCAGAATCAGACTTCGGCGAACTGCCATTTGTAGACCGCTTAGTTAAGACGAGGGAAAACGGACATTTTAGAGTATCTATATTCAGGAAAAACCCACTCCAATAAGTATTTAGACTTCAGATCATCACACCCCATCAGCACAAAGGTATCAGTTGTTTCAAGTCTTCTTGGACGAGCACACTCTTCAATAACGGACGAGAAGGAAAAAGAAGAAGAAATATCAAACACACTGAGACTCTCAAGCAAAACAACTACCCATGGAACTTCATCAACAAAATCAACAGTGGCATTAAGTATGGTCGAAAACACATTCTGAAAACATGCACCTCAACAGTCGTCATTCCATATAGAGCAGAGACGTCAGACAATATCAGAAGAGTACTCAATCAGCTCGACATCAGAGTTTTCTTAAAAACAACAAACAGACTGTGAAACAATTTGTCCATATAAAAGACCAAATCCCTAATGATTCTCTATCTAATTGTGTTTATAAAATAAAATGCTTGGAATATGATGCGATGTACATCTGATGAGCATCGCCAGAGAAATCGAAATCAGAAGAAATGTACACCGTAGAGCATCTTTTCGACCACCGAGAAATCCGGTTGAACTAGGAAAGCTTCAGAAATCATCAGCCATAGGTAGTCTATAACGCTATAGAATCAGTCCACAAAAATGATTTTGATAATGGTGAAATAATCGAGAAAGATTTCAGAAATCATGAAGAACGTGATCAGAAGCACTTCATATAAAGTGAAATCCAAATTGTCTGAATAGGAATGATGGCCTGAAACCGAATTTGAACTAGTTACAACATTACAGCCTCCCCATAAAGTGACAAAATCAACATGAATGTGACTGATAAGCAATTTCATTATGTAAATACATGCTGCTTTTATAATTTTACAAACTTATCAAATCGAACAATCTACACATAATGGTTTTGTTATCTTCACCAACTGGACAATATGACAACGCAAAAATGACCCCATGCTGAGGAACGATGATTAAATTATTAAATATATATCAGGTCAGATTTTGTAAATTCTGGTTTAATATTACTACTTTGATAAAGGTATTAGCGGCAGCACTAAATAGCGAAACGTCAGTAAAAACAGCAATATCATTTTATCTTTCGTTCGTTGGGAAATACGAAAACCTTTATTATAATGAATATCACACACCGAATGCCCAAAATCTTTTTTTCAAGTGTTAGGAAGTATTGATGTAAGAAAAATAATTCCTTAGGCTTTTTTACTCTTTCGCATTAAATACCAAGATACTTTTTATGAGTGATAAAATAAAGTGGCTAATTAGCCTCTTGACATGAGCCTTAAGTTATGACAAAAGCAAACTATTTGATGAGAAGATTCAACTTCAATGTAGCTGTTAATAGATTGAAACTTGAGAATATCATATCTAGTATAGACAGGAGAAAAGAAGAAACAACTTATCCCAAAAAGAGATAGCAGCTTTCAAGAAGCTAGAAAAATGACGAATGCATAGTAATTGCCAACTCGGATAGGGGTGATGTAATAGCAGTTGTAGACAGATTAGATTACATCACCATGTATATACATCTATATACTCAAACCTACCTATATGAAGAAATTAAAAGACCCGAGGACACTGTTATGAATAAGATCAAAAAATTTACAGGTGATCGAGTACGCTGCATGAAGTCATCTTTGGTGAGTTGAAATAGTTCATCTTAATGCCTAAAACTAATAATCCTAGTAGAACATACGGTACTATAAAAATTTATAAAAATAGAAAATATCCTATCGGGCCAATAGATGACACCCCGACTTATGAGTTATCTAAATATTTAGCATCAATATTATGCGCCATTAAAGATAGGTCAGATTCTAGGCTAACTGATTCACACATATTGAGACAGAAGCCAGAGGAAATTCAGTTAGACAGAGATGAAAAAAAGTGATTCGTTTTGACACAACCAGTTTTTACACTAACATTCCGATTAATACTGCTCTATAGGCAGTTAGGAACTAAAAAAGACATTGATTGGTGAACTCGAAAATAGGACTAAGTTCTGGATTGATGAAGTAATATTATGCTTTCACTCATGCCTAAACTCTAATATATTCCAGTTTCATAAGTAAATATTCATACAAACGAATGTAATGGCAATGGGATCACCAATGTCCCCAGCAGTAGCAGACATATTTATGGACAGTCCAGAACATAAATCCTCCAAAACATTTCACCCTGCTCGAAAAATATGGTGGAGACATGTGGACGACACAATTCATGTGTTTGAGTCTAAACATGTCCCTCATTTCTTCGTACATACAAACTCGGTAGTAGACTAAATACAATTCACTTCTGAGTTGAAAAACGAGCAAGGTGAGTTTGTCATGTCAGAAAGTAATATAGAACAAAGACAAGATGGGGGTGGTGGTTGGATACTAGCATTTATAAGAAACCAACTCAGTTCATCCCAGTCACAATCGGTAAAGATAGCTTCAGTTAGATGTCTATATAATGGGGGCAGGAGCCTAACTAGTAAGCCAGAAGATTTAAATAGTCACATCAAGAAAATAAAGGAAATATTACTAGTAACTGGCCACCCACAAGAATTTATTCAGAAATATATAAGAAGACCCATAGAAGAAATAAGATTATTAATGGAAATGACAAAGAATAACAAAAATAATATAAAATTAAGAGTCTCTGTAGTACCGACGTATAAACAGGGAACGCCAGGGGCCTTACATATGATTCTCAACGAGGCTGGAATTAAAATGGCGTTTAAACCAACCAATTCTCTCACAGATAAATTATGTCTGTTTAAAAGCTCAACAGATGCAATTAGGAAAAATAATATAATTTACTAAGTACCATGTAATGACCGTGAGGCCAATTACATAGGTCAGGAAGATTACTGGAACATAAAAATTTAGTTAGATCCAGTATGATTGACCCTTATAGGTTAAGTGACCTGACAAACAACTCGGCCATTGCATTCACTTGCATGTAATTACAAAAAGGGTGTGTGGAGCAGGATGGAAGTATTCAAAAGGAATAGAGTTAGTTAGGTGGAGAGAGTGGTTATTCACTAAAGCACTGTTTATCGATTCAACATGGCACACATGCAAGTGGAATTAAGCAACGCCTATATAGGAAACATGGAAAGTAGCAACAAACAACAAAGGGAAGTCGGAGAGACAGACAAACAGAAAGTTTCTAAAATCAAACAACCAGAAAGATAGAACAGAAGTATTCAGAAGGGAGAATCAAAAACGTTGAAGATGTTGAAGGATGACTCTATTATTACTTCGTCTGGTTCGACCGTCCCTCGTTTAAGTGGTCTTCTCAAGGTGCATAAAGACGGTGTCCCTCTGTCACTTATATTGGATATGCTAAACTCTCCTAATCGTTCTACAGCAAAATGGCTCGCTAAGATCCTTGAGTCAGTAAGGTCAAATCTATGTAGACACAGTCTTACAGACCCTTCTGACTTCGTCAGCTGAGTTGGTGGAATTAATGTAGATGGTAAGCTTGTGGTCTCATTAGAAGTTTGCTGTTGATTTACGAATGTACCGTTAGTAGAAACTATTTGTTATTTATGTGATTACGTTAACCTAAAGTATGTAGATATTGGAGTGCCAACTAACTATCTGTAGCAGCTTTTACTGAGACGCGCGCTTAATGTGCAGTTTAGATTTAATGCTGTCACCTATAACCAAAAGGATGGGGTCTTCATTAGGAGTTGTCATCGTGGACGTCTTCATGGAAAGCTTGGAGAAGGGGCCATTGAAAGAAACAGTGTCAAGTCTGCATATGTATAAGCGATATATTGATGACACGTTCATTATTTGTGACAAAATTGCTCAGTTGATGAGCTTCTTGGAAAATCTAACAGTTCTCACTAATTTATGCTTCTCTCTATGGAAAAAGAATCGAACTCCGCATTTCACTTCTTAGATATGATGCTTGGTAGAAGGGAGGACGATGCGCTAAAATGGTCGATCTACTGAAAGCCAACACTTACACGTCAGCACAGAAACTTCAATAGTTGAGTACCTCTAAGCGGGAAGAGAAATCTTATCCGTTCTCTATGCTTCAGAATTCGGAAACTTTGCCCTGTAGATACAATGGACTTAGAATTAGGAAGCCTTTGTACGACTCCTTCAAATAATGAATATCTTAGACGGTTTACTGACAGAAATATCAGGAAAGAAACAGTCTTTAGCCAAACTACAATGTCGAAAAAGATACCAAAATATGATTCGACAATACGTCATGGATAAACTACCGCTCATATCCACCTCTATGTACATATACTCATTCACATGCTCTCGTGGAGCTGGTTACACTGAACGTTGTAAGCGTAATCTTCGTAAACGCTTACCTGAACACTACCTTGTTTAGTTAATGAAAGGTGAGAAAAGGACGACAAAGTCTTCAATCTGTGAACACCTAGAGTCAGGTCAGTTAGTCCCAAATGATTTATCCTTTAAAGTTATCTACAGGATTAAATCTAATCACTCCAAAAGTTTATGTTTTCTCCACTCATGCAAAGCTAACCGAAGATCTAGCTATACATAAACAAAACCTGAATTATGTATTCAAAAACTCTTTGTCAAGCCCGTTTCTTTACCTTGGTCATAATAACGTTCTTTTATTTTATTCCATTTTACCACTTGAATTCATTCCACCTCACTTCAATTTCGCCGTCTTTACTGTTATCATCATTTATTCTAAATTTTTCAAAGAACACCTGACCTATAATTTAAAATCTGAATACCAGCCCACTTATTTAATAATTTTTAAAAATTTTTATAATTCATCCCCTTTAAGTCTACCCTCTTAGTAAATCATTTTAATTATGAGTTATAGGACCACTGGAAAACCTGGGAGTACTGGACAGCTGTTTCCTCCGTCTTAGTTTGGAACTCTTCAGCAGTATGCGTTACCAGGGTTCAAACCAAGGACCTTCTTCTTACAAGGTGAGCTCATAGACGATTGAGTCATCGGGACCCGATCCAGTGGCCAGTCCATGAATTCTATCTTCTGCCAATTCACGAATTCATGGGTCACTGGATCAGATCTCAGTGGCTTAATGGTCTACGAGCCAGGTCGTATTGTAACCACAAGTTCCTGGGTTCGAACCCAGCTGTGTGGGTGCGTACTGATGAAGAGTCATAAACTATGATGGAGGAAACAGCTGTCCAGTACTCCCAGCTTGTTTCCAGTGGTTCTCTAACTGATGTCAGCTCATGATGAAATCCTCTATCCAATCAAACAAAATCCCTGCAAAATCAGCACTTGGACATTTTAATTATCAAAAGAATGGATACTGAACAAAAAGTACTCTTTTCGATAACTTTATCGTCAGGCTCTATATTTATATATACATTATAGTGAATGAACGAATGAATTAGTGTTATGAACGGCATTAATGTTTAAGTAACATCAAACCAATAATATTGATAGATTACAGCTGAATAGCATTAACATAAAATAAGCTGAATGTCAGAAAAATTAGAAAAGATAATATTACAAATTCATGAGTTAATAGCCTCTACTGAAGGCCAGGGCAGTAGCAGGGGCTGGCTTGCTTCTTTTGGACACAGAGTGCTGGTTGTTTGAGACTAATCGCAATAGCCTCTGCTGTTTGAAGCATGCGGTGCTTCGATGATTTTGGCAATCTATTAGGCACCTGGTAGATTATACAGAAGGATTCTTCCACGCTGGCTGGCTTTGTGGCCAGTTTGCACTAGATGGGCGAATATCGAGCTGTTAATGGTTTTCACTACACTTTTACTTGGCCATGATGGGAGATGTTCTCGAGTACGAAGAATCAAGTTCCTAGAGCAACAGCCAATATAACTGGCTCCACAAGCGCAGTTGAATTGGTAGATGCAATTTGAAGTGGCCAGCTAGTCTAGGTACTTCATCTTTCAGTCGAGGAATCTCCATCGGTTGTGTAGAGAATAATACGTGTAGTTCGCCAGTCTTAAAAGTTCTTTGAACTGATTTTCTTAATTTCTTCGCAGTTATCTTGCTTGGCATATCGCCTATGAATTGTAGTCGTATATAAAGAGGCTTCTTTTTTACAGATGGTGAGTAGCCCTTTACTTTTGAGATTTCTCAGCACAGCTTGCGATGTAAATACTGGCATCATCTTCACTGTTACCTGATAAAGTTACTTACTGATTATGGGTGGCAATAATTAGTGTTCGGAACCTTGTCATCCACTTATCAATATTGCGTCATTATGTGTTATTTTCAAATAATTGTAGAATAACGCCTTATCAGAAATTTCAAACATTTATTCCCCTTATTGAATTTGAGCAAAGCAAGAACTACAGTTTTAGCAGAATAAAGTGGTACCATCATTGTTTATTTCGTTGCCTTCTCGTCAGCTGCTTACAGGGCAAAGACATTGGTAAATATATCTACAAAAACAATTTTAACATACTTGCACAGAGTTCATTTTAAACAAAAGTCAATCGGTCAATATATGCATACAGTAATAATATACAGATATATATGTGTAATATTAAACACTATTCCGAACAATAATAATCATACACAATGGAAACTTTTCAGCATTTCACATTCAGATAAATGAGAGATGGAAAATATCCAGTTACCAGACAGGGTAAAGAAAGACTGATAACCGTTTTTTTCTCGATGCATAAATCAGGTTTCAGGCGCTTGATGGAAATGGTTTCAGTAAGCTTGAGGAGAATTGAACTCTTTTGCCTATTGATAATTTTGAACGACTTTTCGACCTCCATCTTACGCCCCGTGTCGATGAGATGCCTGGCGATGGCACTGTTTAAAGCATTTGTTCCCTGTAGACGTAAGCTTACGCCTCCTTAAGTTTGTTGAAGCTATTTCTATCAAGCGCCTGAAACCTGATTTATGCGTCGAGAAAAAAACGGTTATCAGTCTTTCTTTACCCTGTCTGGTAACTGGATATTTTCCATCTCTCATTTATCTGAATGTGAAATGCTGAAAAGTTTCCATTGTGTATGATTATTATTGTTCGGAATATTGTTTAGTATTACACATATATATCTGTATATTATTACTGTATGCATATATTGACCGATTGACTTTTGTTTAAAATGAACTCTGTGCAAGTATGTTAAAATTGTTTTTGTAGATATATTTACCAATGTCTTTGCCCTGTAAGCAGCTGACGAGAAGGCAACGAAATAAACAATGATGGTACCACTTTATTCTGCTAAAACTGTAGTTCTTGCTTTGTTCAAATTACGCTTTAGATTTTATTGACTGTGAGATCAAAATTAAGGAGATATATGGCTTGTCTTTTATTCTTAAAAAACTAAATAGGGTTGCTATGAAATACACTATGGCAGTGAAGATGTCAGAATTTACGAAAAAGGAGAGGGAATACAACCAAATAAATTTCTTCTATTTGTTGATCGTATGTCAGATGAAATGTGTCAGGATTCAACCGCCGCTTACACAATAGTGTGTGAATTACATGAAGAAACTGAAAGGTAAGAAATTTTATTTCTAAATCTATGTATCTCAAACCCAAAAGATATAGATAGTATATATTGCATTATTACATAATTCATGCCTTGTGTTCCATGTGGAATTCATAGCTTCAATACAACTTAACATTTCCTCCTCACATAATCTTCGCCATAATACGCACAGAAAAACGACAAAAGAGTCATTCATCTTCCATACGAGGACAAGATTGTCCTGTGAGATGTCTTTCAGCGCTCTCTACAGCTATTTTATTATGTGCTTCCGTTTACTTCTCCATATTTTTCGGGGTGATATGATGTTGGTAGGGGCACCGGCAGCCAGCTTTCCATACAGCTCATTTCTTCTGGCTGGCCATGTGATTTAGAGCATTGAGTGAAGCTGGATGACAGTGAAAATCTACGGTGTGATGAAAATGCTTTTCTTTTCGAACGAGAGATGTAAACCTCTGAATCATACGTTAGCGTGGATATTAAAATTTAAAATCCGGTGGTTTTTCCCTGTGTAATGTAAGCCTGTCTTGCCTTCCCTGATCATATCTTTGAAGTTCTCATGTCTGCCACGTTGGGCTAAAATGATGTTACCTGTGTTAGTGGTGGAGTAAATTTGCTTTCTTTTAGATACTGTTGATAGTCGTTGTTCCTGGGCAGTAAGTTGTTTGCATCATCCCTGTCTTCTCTCTTTGCTGCATCTTCCGCCAACTGATTGATTTTAGCTCGTATACTGTAGAGTTTGTCTGAAATGATATATATATATAAATCATCCACAATGTGCAAATTTTCCAGTACACTGTTGTCCATATCGCGTGTGCCTATCTTCTACCCTTTCATTATCTATATCACGGTTCAGTCCACCCCAGTCAGAAACATCACCAGTTATAATGAGCATCCTCACATAAACAATCTGAACACTACAGAGCGCCACAAACTTGCCAACTTCATTCAACAGCTACATGTCAAGCGGCTTACAACAGACAACAGAGGACTGAACTTCATGGATGGTTTATGCCTAATATCGCACAAATTCGAAGATCCATAGGCAAAAACCAACAAGGTAGCAGAAGAAGTAGCGAAGACAGGACTTCGGATAACCGCGCAGAAGACAGAGGTGAAGAAGATACACACTGACCAACAGTAATAAGTACCAATCATTATTAAGAGAGAAATCTTTTCTTGCCAGCTTGGCTTGTTCCAACCACAGGCAACGGCGCATATGCAGATGTCAAAGCCACCCTTGATCGGAAGAACAAGGCGGACTTTCTTTAATTTAAAATGTGTGTGAAAATCTGTTGTGCTCAGCATAAAGAATATGTTCTGGATTTTCGATACTAATGTTAACTGAGTCAATTCTTCTATATGATTCAAAGAGTTGGTACGTATTCAGAAGCATTTCCACTACAATGAACACTTTTGTAGAAGGAAAAACTCATGCCTTTGCTTCATACTGTAGATCAGATGGCTGGTCAGAAAGGATAGAAAGTGAGGAGTTCTTGCAGTAAACCAACTAAGGGCCTATCACCCAACAAATATGCTGACGTAAATGAAGATGGGGCAAACACACACACACACAGAAGACCATTAAGTGCCATTTCACGGGAGACAATCGAGTAGAAACTGAAGTGGAAATGACGAGTTAGGTATCGACTTCCGATTGACACAGAGGAGATCATATGAGTAGGCAATGAAAGTTGATGGGAAATCTTGGAGCTAGCTGAAAGGGACTGAATCGAACAAGATGGGTTGGAAATGTGTTGTTCAAGCACTATATTCATTCAGAAGCCTAGGGAATAGTAATAATAATAATAATAGGTGACACATTGCGATCCCTTCCTATCTGTCGGACTTATCAAGTCATTGGTATTACAACTGTGATAGTCTCTTTCTAGTCCATTAGAGTTATTTTAAAAATAATAAAAATGTCGGGTTACTTTCAGAAAATTCATTATCATCTCTAATGCTTTTAAATCATAATTCTAAAAAAGAGTTTAAAAGCATCGTTGTCAGTAATACAATGCGTTAATTTTAAAAATCATGACCATCTGAAATCTGTAATACATTTTTTCTCTGCTTTAGACCTATTGCAGCGTATATTAATTTCTGCCCACAGTATTTAGATGAAAAGGAAGAGTTTGATGAAGAGACTGTTGTTACTGCAGTTCATGAGTTGGGTCATGCACTGGTTAGTTGAATAATTTATGACTTGTTTCTTTTCTTTCTGTGAAATATTTTTGCACTATAATCAATAATTCAGATTAACAAACAGTGATTGTTTGCACTGTACTATAGTTAGTGCCAGTTTTGAGAAAGAGCCTAACTTTGGTGCTGATACGCGTTATACAAGTTGGATTATTAGGATTTGTCCTTAATTGTGCCTAATTTCTCAACAGCAGAGATATTTGGCTTAGTTGCACAAATCAAGTAACAGCAACACTTTGAGAATCTCCGGTTAAATGCCCATGGTCAGTCTCAGAGAAGATATAATCATCGGTCTAAGCTTATTACTCTTTAGTGATGTTTTCTTCACCGGCCCATCAGTAATCTAAGGCAGAAATTTCAAGAGTTAGTTTGTAGGGATATGATTTCTTTTAAGTTTGATCAGGGGTTTATATCAGTAAGAGAGCCACTGAAAGCCAGGAAGTACTCGACAACCGCTTCCTACTAGTTTGAGCCTCAGCAGAAGTACACAGGCACCGCAAACGTGAGAAGTTGTGACTAGTGTGGTCCATCTGGTCGGGAGTGAGGATAAATACTCTCCGACGACATTGGCTGCAGGTCGCGCTAAAAACATGTATTGGTAGAAGTTGGAATTCACGGACTGTCCATTGGATACGGTCTCAGTGCCTGAATGGACTACGAGCTCTTCCTATAACGTGAAGGTTCCGGGTTGAAAGCATGGTGAGTGTGTGCTGCCGATAAGTCCCAAACTTGGACTAAACTGCTGTCCAGTACTCTGTGTTTTTCAAAGGCACTCTAACTAACATCAATTCATGGCCATTTGTGAAGGAAAACTTTTAAGTTTCTCTGTGGCTTATTTGTTTTTCAGAGAATGTAAGATTAATTCTTGTTTATTCTCAGTCTAAGGTGACAGTCATAGCATAATGAAACCAGAGTTGGTCTCCTAATAAGGATAATATACAATAATATTACAACTCCACAAATTAATTAGAAATAGAAAGAAACATATAACCAGTTGGTTGAATGATACTGTTCTGGTAGAATTGACTGAGGTCAAAATGTACAGGAGTAGAAACGTTGAAACTGCATTATAACAGCCATATAGTTTTCAAGAATTACTTATTCCTTGAAAAATAATCTTAAAGTCAGTCAGTTAGTCACCTGCACCACTTTGATACTTGGAACGTTTGTGTGGTGAACTGGAAGTATAAGGAGCTTTGGCACTGAACCAACCAACAACCTGCTACACAATAAATTTGCAGAAGAAAATGGAAGTGGACTGGACATAGGCTGAAGACGCCTTCAGATGACGTGAAACCTACCAGAGATAAACAGGGAAAGTCGGACTGTGATCTTTTGGAAATCCGCTCATGAGCATGATTTGTACTAGAGCATATTGGCCGCCTTTCAGCATCTGACTTACTGTGGGTACCTGTCTGTGGCAGATATATGTGGTGCGCTTATAATATGATACGCATATGGAAGGGTGCACGGATCTGCGCGCCACTGCACAAAAATCGGTATTACTGTCAGTCTGCTTGGCTTGGTTGGGTTGGTAGGTGAGACTCGCTGATTCCTTCTGTAGGCTATGGGACTAGTTGGTTGTCTAAGTGTGATACAGGGAAAATAAACTGAGGAGAAAATAAAAACTTAAAAGCTTGTAAACAGTCGTGAAGCCAATTGAAAGTGTTTGCAAGTAAACGATTGGAATAGGGATGTGACATTGAGTCCCTGTGTTCCATATGGAAAGCAAGGAATGAACAATAAGTCTGTTGAAGTACTCGGAAATTAAACAATATAATTTTTTATTTTAAATAATCTCAAGCAAAGTAATGCTGGTTGAGAAAGTGGCAGCAGTTAAGTAGTTTGAAAAATTCTGTACTCTAAAAAGTGTTCATTGACCCTGATTTAAATAACCATAAATTTGCTAATATCAGTATCGCTTCCGGAAAGAATGATTTAAAAAATGCTTCTTCGGAAAACGAAGTGACAAATCTAATTAACTTTTACTTTCTAGGGATTTTCTTCAGAGTTATTTCCATATTTTCGAGATGAATATGGCAATCCTAGAACAAAGAGGCACCCAAAAACAATAGACCGATACTTTCATACTTGGGGTAATTTTTAAATGTTGAAATAAAAAATTATACATTCATTTTATCTTAAAATTTTGATCATGGTCAATTTTAACACTTAATTATCTATAGTTTGGTTTGTAAGGGTTAGTTTTTTTGTTTTTACGAGTTGATCATGGATTGATATCAGTTAGAGAACCATTGAAAATCAGCAGGGAGTAATGGACAGCTGTTTCGTCCTAGTTTGGAAATCATCAGCAGTACGCACACATTGGGGATCAAACCCAATATTGACAGCTGAAATCGCTTCAGTATAATAAGTATTATTACTTGCAACAGTATCACTATACGTACATGTATCATTCGTTGCAATCCAGACGAAAAATAGAGCTTCAGAGTCACAAATCCATATCATCACATTCTATACCATGGCTGTTAACTGGTTACACAGCGGTGCTCAACTTTTCTCTTCCTCCTCACCCAGAACCAAGCAAAAGTCATATTTTTCTATTCATCTTTCACACGAGGGCTAAAATGGCGTATGATGTCAGTCAACTCTCTACTCATTATTTTTACAATCCCTCCCAATATCCTTCTAGATGTTTGTTGGATAATGGGTTGTTGATTAAGACACTGATTGACAGAGATACTTTTACTAATTGTTCCTGGCCGAACATAACGTCTTCTCAATGTGAAATACATGAAAGACAGAAGTTTTTATAGATCGCCTGGCATTAGTAGAACTTATCATCAGTTTGTATTTGGAGTGTACGAACAGAAATTTCAGAGAAGAGTCTGTTTTTTGGCGAATTCATTCACTTAAATGTACAATCACATTTACCTATAAATAAAAATTAGTTGGGGTTATTGTTTACATTATCAAATTGTTTCGACAATGTGATGAATCATCAAATTATAACTAGGAGGGTGTGTGAAGATTGGTAAGTGTTGAGAAGAGTTGCGTAATATGTAAGAAACCCAGAAAATAGGCTGTTTAATGAAACAGCATGGGGACACGTGTCCAAAGTAAACTACGCAGCAGGTAGAAAGAGTAAACAAAGGGTTGGTTAAGAAGAACATGTTAGCGAGAAGTCACACAAACATCCAAAAAAGAAGCATTATTAACAAAACAGTAAAACTTGAAATTATACTTAAGGGAGAACGAGGGGGTGAAGAAGTTTCTTCTGTGTACATAAATCATGGTTTTCTATCCGGATTGCTAAAGCCTCCTCAGTAGTGCAAGGTATACGGAAGCTAACCATCTTCAGGAGGCTTCTTTCAACTTTGTAGATGATTTTGAATGAATTCTCTGTGCATATTGGGTGTCTAGTGTTGAATATATGTTCAAACATAACACTTCTTATTGATCCAATTTTACTTTATGTAACCAAGTGGTATAACATTCTTTGACTGTTTATATAGAAGACACATATAACCACCAATGTATGCTGCTCCATATGAGTAAGTAAATTGGTAGATACACACAGAAGTGGTAAGATGCGATAGTTTATCTTTGGAGTTGTTGTAGAGCAATGGCAGCTTGAGTAGCAGAGAATGTTTTCCAGGGCGCTAGATGTTTTTCTCTTTAGGATTTTGGCCAGAAGGTCTTTTTTGAATGCCATATTCATGTATAGCATCTTCTCAGCCCATAGATAGTTTGTTCTTTGTTGATTTTGGCTTCATTTGTCTTGAAAATAGTATATGTGAGATAAATAACTCGCACCATCAAATGAATATCTCATAGACAGTTGTTTCATAGGGTTCTATTGATAGTCACAATCAAGCACGTATAGGCATTAAACAGCGAACTCAGCTATTTTTTGAGGAAGTGCACGATACAGTATAGTTGATACAAATAAAAATGCTTAGCATGCAAGAAATAAGTCGTATCTCTCACTGACTGGTTGCAAACTCATAGTACGACTAAAGATACGTAGTGCTGACAATTAAGTTAATAGAATTCGGTCGGCTGTTGGTACTAAAAAAATTAATCGAGAAACTATTTAGGATATAATTTTAACCAAAATGGATACTGAGTACCAAATCCTAACGAATACTATTCAGCAGTCTGAAATGTACTTATCGCAGATTCGAGAATGAGAGTTTACTCTGTGTGGTAAATAGTTTTCAAAATCATCTGTCAGAATTCAGCCAATACGAATAAGCTTTAGACATTTAACGCCGGTTACTTCACAGTGACTGCTCAATGTAAATCCTTAGTCTGTGGTGGGTATGAATCTACGAAGAAGTATCTGTTAATTCGACGTTGCATATTACTGGGCTTCCTGCAAATCTGTCACCTCAGGAAAAGCACGCCAGCTGGTTTATTTCATCTTTTGTTCATCATTTCAATACAGCGATGTTCTGCTTGATAATATATTCCTGACCATTATGTAACGGCAAGACACGGAAGCAAACGTACATATTTTCAAATGAGCAAATCGCTATTTATATATACAGCTTATATTCTTTAACTAACCACTAAACAACATGAAACAGAATTTCCAATTTTCAAGTATTGGTTTGTAGGGAATAGACTGATTGGTTAGATGATTTCATCTAGAGATGACATCAGTTAGAGAACCATTTGAAGACCAGGGAGTACTGGACAGCTGCTTCTTACGCCCAGTTTGGGACTATTCGGTAGGACACACCCACTGGGAGGATTTGGATCCAGAACCTTCTCGTTACAAGGCGAGCTAGCTCGTAGACCATCAAGCCACTGGGACCCGATCAAGTGGCCAGCCCATGAGTTCTAACTTCTGCCAATTCACAACATGGCGCAACCACTAGCTGTCCAGTGCTCCCAGATTTTCCAAAGGTTCTCTAGCTAATCTCAGCTCATGATGAAATCATGTAACATATATAGTATTCTGTTGCTAATGCAGTACTAAACTATAGGAATATTTGAGAATAATATTCCGTTGGAACACATTGTCTGTATCACACCACTACAATAAGACCAGCTAATATCATCTCATTATTTCACTTTCAGGGTTCATGTATCCGTGTTTTTTCAACCTTGTTGTTTCACCATTATTTCGGATAATAAACTGAGAAATCCTATTTATTGCAGTTAACGATTGAATTTGTGCTTCTGTGGTCTAGGGGTAGAATGTTGGCCAATCGACCACGTTGTCCCGGTTCAATTAAAACCTAACGCACTCGTAAACCTCGATTAACCAGTAATAAACGCAGTAAGAGTGTGCAGCTACACCCAGTAAAAACTACCACTACTATTGCAACGTCAAAGATCAAGCTTGAAACCTTACGTTCAACTAGAAATCCGAAGAGAATTGTAGAAAATGTTTAATTTGATAGGTGAAGATTATCAATGGAATTATCGGTGTACATTCTGTTCGATTTGTTACTCATTAATAGGATGCGCGTGCATTCCTATTAGAAGTGGCAATTTCACTCAAGAGAAATCAGAAAACAACGAATTCACAAGTTCCAGCAAACATCTGGCTGTTTTGTTAATGAAAAGTTTAACTTAAGAGGCACTTATCCTACTTACAAATGCTTGGTTGACTAAACTGAAAGATACTCGAGTGACACAATCTTGATTTCATTGGTAAATAGACAGCTATCAAGCTACTGCATCAATCGAAACTTCATATAATTCCCACTTTTATGCATATTGTTAAGCATAAATTCGCTTTCTTATTTTACTTCTTTTTTTAGCCGTACTACAGTAAGATCTGTCAAAAGAAGGTGGAAAAGTAGGGCAGGTGTTTTTCAAAGAGTTGTCGATACTCTTATTCTTCCCACAGTCCTGGTAAACAGAGTGTTTGAGTTTCGATTTTTCTCCTTTCTAACTAACATTACTGTATGTCTTTTAACATTGAGAACTCAATTTTAGTTGTTAGAGTGATGAAAACATGCAGATTTCTGATTGTAGAAATCACTTACCACTTTAGCAGGTATCAAATCATCAATTGTTCACATAGGATAACTCAAATGCTCAAATTATTGGAAAGTATTTTATATCTACTTCCCTGATATTATGGATAAGATTTTATTTCGATAAATCACACAGTGTTGTACAATTACATTAACTGATGACGTTTTGAGCAAAAACTATTACTCATAATCATATCAAGCTACTCACACAACTTTTTTCTTTCATTTATATACATGGATGGAATCGATTAGATATTGGATTTAAAATCAATGTGAGAGAATATCCATTCAGAAATAATAGTACGAGTGTTATTGACCCATTGCAATTATGTGGGAAATACGACTGTTTATACGAGTGTTTCTTTTTTTTATAGTCATAATAAGTTATTTATTAGGATGTTGTGATGTGTTTGAATTGAAATAGAAATTAAGGATTATTTATTATCCTCTTCTGATTTGACTTGAGGTAATAACATCTTCCATATTTCTGGTATTTGCATTGAATCATTTCTGTTATATATGTTGGGTGCGTCGATGGCACAGCGGTTAAGACGCTCACCGACCATGCAGATGGTCCGGGTTTCGAGCCCCGGTCAGCGCATACCTTACCTCGTTAAGCCAGTAGTGAGATTGGTAAGGAAGAAAGGTTGGGCATGAGGCTAGCAACCCCATCCTGTAAAAAATCAACACTGCTACGGAATCTTCAAGCCTATAGCTTGGAGCCCTACGTTCCACTTGGAAAGTGAAGGAAAAAAAATATATGTTGGGTGTAGACTCGATGAATAAGGATTCTGTAATCAACCTCCGTCTGTCTCCACCTACCTATATTACTTTTTAGAATTTTAAACCTGTCCAACCCTATTGTGTGGTTATTTGTTATTGCGTGAAGTGCAATAGCTGAGCTTTTTTCTAAATTACTTATCTTTTCAGGGTCGACCATTCTTACCTTAGCTAAATTCTTACGTTCTGATAATCTGACTATCACTGACCTACTAGTTTGACCTATGTAGCTGACCTCACAATCGTTGCAGGGTATTTTGTAAATTATGTTATTTTGTATAATTGGGTCTACCGGGTCTTTTATCCTACAGAGCTTGTCTCTGAGTGAGTTTTCAGGCTTAAATGCCACCCTAATTCCTGCTTTATTTAGAATCCTACGTAGAGTCTCAGATGTCCCTTCTTTATATGGTATAACTGTAGATGACTTATATTCTCTCTTATTTATGTTATTATTACTAGTTTCACAATTAATTTTATTTTTCTTTTGGCCTTTTCCGATCTTCCTAATGAATTTTATAGGGTACTTATTTAACACCAAAGCCTTTTCTATCTGTTTTATTTCATCATTTAAGTCTTTTTTTGTGCTACTTAGTGCCACTGCTTGGTTTGTTAAACACTTAACTAAGCCTGCCTTAACAGTCAACGGATGAGATGAATTAAAGTCTAAGTATCTATTAGAATGAGTTGGTTTTCTGTACACACTAGTGTGTAGTTTACCTTCTTCTATTCGTTTTATTTTATTATTACCACCAGTCACATCAGAAGAGGATAATAAATAATCTTCAAATTCCATTTTAATTCACACACATCACAACATTCTAACAAGTTACTTATTATGATTATAAAAACACTCGTCTTATTTCCCATCTGTTTGTACTTGATCAGTAACACTCATATTATTATTTCTGAATGTACATTATCCTATATTGATTTTTATTCAAATCTCTAATCAATTCCATTTATGCATATAAATGAAGTAAAAAGTTATGTGAGTGAGTAATTTGATATGATTATGATTGGCAACAGTTTATGCTCGAAACGTGGTGATCAGTTAAAATTGCTCTATGACACTGTGTGATTTATCAAAATAAAATATTATCTATAATGGACTAAAGATTTAAATTGGTCCGGTATTTCTGGGTAGCCTTGGAAGTGATTCTCATATCTTAAACATACTTATTGACATGTCAGCTGCTTAAAAGAACTAACCAGAAACACAACCCACTCAAAATTGCTAAAATAAAGGTTTTAGTTTGAACTAGAGAAATCAAAGACTCTTTGGTGAATGATTTCTGATAAGTCTTGTTTTCAACAATTTATTCATCTGAATATTGGGAGGCAGGGATGATGGATGATATCAGAACCAGAACCAAAATGGTTAGGTAGACCTTCGTCACTCTGAAATCAGTTTAAAAATCCTCAGCATTCAGCAAGATTGTCATTGTCACCAATGTTAAGTTGGTGAGTTCTTCTGTATGCGTCAGAAACCTGACTCTCAGGTCACAAAAAACATTTCCAACAGCCAACTGCAGACTTTTATCAACAGCTGTCTTCGCCGGTTCCCAATGGAGGATCAAATGGCCAGAACAGATCAGAAACCAGAAACTCTGAGAACTAATCAACCAATCGGATAGGGTGCAGCAGGTCGAGTGTGAGGACAAATACTCGCCGAAGACACTGGCTAGTGGTCACGCTGTGTCGTGAATTTGTAGAAGTTAGAATTCATGGGCCATTGGATTGGGTCCCAGTGGCTTAATGGTGTACGAGCTCGTTAGCCTTGTAACCAGAATGTCCTGGGTTCGAATCCCGGCAGGTGTGTACTGATGAAGAGTCCCAAACTAGGACGAAACAGCTGTTCAGTACTCCCAGGTTTTTCAATCGTTCTCTAACTAGTGTCAGCTCATGGTGAAATCCTGCAACCAATCGGATAGTGCCCAACAAATATGACGAAAAAAATGGAGATGGATAGGTCACATGCTGAGGATACAGTTGGGCGACATCATACATCAGGCCTTCGAGTAGAAACCAACCAATGTAGAAATGCCGAGTTGTGTATAAGTTCTGTGGTGACAAAGAGGAGATTTTGTGAGGAGCAGATGAATGCTTGTGGGAAACCGTGGGGTCAGATGGAGAGGACTACAAAAAGCAGGATGAAATAGAGATATTCCGTTGAAGCCCTATATTTATTCCACTTAGGGGATCTATGGAATCACAGCAGTGATGTGAAGGTGAAAAAATAAACAAGATCTTAAGAATAATAGGATAAAAACAGAAACACTGTCTCAAAATTTACAAGTAAAATATTTAGTTGTTGTCAGTAAGAAAAGTAGATGAATACCTCATGATATTCTTACACACGCTTGGAATTAGTCACATACCACATAATCTATAAGTACACACATTCTTATGCTTTACATAAACTAATCGGTCGATGGATTGTATTCACTGGAGCTGTTTGTTTTTAAGCAGTGATCAAAATCCATTGATAATGTGCTTATCATGACCCTCTAGACTGAGTGACAGAGTATTTCCACCTCCACTAGTGTATCATAATTTGACTGCATGAAATATGTGTTTTATGGTTGGCGGCTCTTATTAGTTTAGACTGTATCTTAGCAACTGTCAATTATCTTGGCCTTTGTAGGCTTAATTACTGATCCATCTATTTATAACAGTGAATCGAATAAAGTGCATATACTAACCAGCGAACCGCTTTCTCAAATTATTACTAGTAATAACCATCTACCCGAATAAACATTCATCATACGAAATTCTACACTACACGGTAAATTAAGAAGGTTATTTAAGTTCTCTTTTAGTATATTATTCATTCTCTGAGTTGAAAGTGGACTGTAGAAGCTCAGCGACACATGTCCTCTGCACCCAGTCTCTGGTTACTTTATACATCACCTACCATACTAGCGGTTCATAGGCTGAGAAACAGAGAAGTTTGGGTAGAGGGGTAGCAAATCGACCTCCTAACAAAACAATTCCAGCTTTACTGAAAGTCCAAAGCTCAGTAAAAACAGCCTTATTCTTCGGTGGAATAATCGTGAGGACCCCTTAATTCCAAAACGAATAATACCAGTGGGTGAATGCCTTTAAGAAACCAGTTGGCTAATATGTCTTCTTTAGATAAAATCACAAGTGAGCATTCCAATCTGTACTGTTCACACCAAGTCTGAATCTGTCAAAACTGCTCAGATTGCAAACATTGAATGAGAACACCTCTTAGTTTTCAAAAATGATGATTCTTAAAAAAGTTTTTAGTTTTTTTAATTATCTATTTTTTTTAACTATAGTGACATATTGACATTTTGATGTTGTTTGTTTTATTTAGCATGAAGCACGTATTCATTACAATTGTCCACACTTAGATGGAGTGGATTTGGAGAATGAAGGTGGAGAAGGAACTAGTGGAACTCATTTTGAAAAAAGATTAGTTGGTGTAAGAAAAAAGTGATTTTTCTCTAGTCTGTCTCGTATACTTTGACTTTAGTCAGTGATAAAGAAGAGTTGTAATTTTGTACATTATTTGTTGGTTGGATAAGCATGAATCATGCACTTTTTTTTCTTCACGTTCCCCAGTGGAACATAGGGCTTCAAGCTAGTGACTTGAAGTTTCTGTAGCAGTGTTTTTTTCACAAGATGGGGTTGCTAGCCTCATGCCCAACCTTTCCTCATTACCAGCATTATTTCTGGCTTAGCGAGGTAAAGGAGTGCGTTGCTGGAACATGAAACACTTATGATGGCATATACTATCGACTGCTCTGAGCGATTGAAAACCTCTATGAGTAGTCAATAGACGTTTCGTATCTTAGTTGTATGAAAGTTGAGAACTCAAGCGTTTTAAACTGGTTCCACCTTGTGTTTTCAAACTTGTATTTTGGTTATTCGTTTGATCCCAATCAAATGTATGACGCTTATAGCAATTCGATCACTTTGATCCAGTTAATAGAAACTATTGACTGATGTGCTTGATTTGTAACTACTCATATAATTCAGTAGTATATATACAGGTGTATTATTTGGAATTTCTTCTTTCGTATGGTTCTCATTTATGGTATCGGGCAGATCACATTTATTGTGATTGGAATAATTTGCATTTACTGTAGGTATTAGTGTCAAAACTTATTTTATTCTCGAGTTTGACTTTTACATTCTCACTTTATTATGCCTTGGAAGTTTTCAGGTTTTGATTAACGCTTATCTAGCATTCGGATTAAAGCTTTTCATCAGTGAAAATTGAAGTTTGTCGTCTATGACTTGAAATAATTTGGTAGTTTAGGTGATATAGCGTTTACTGTGAGCTCTGAATTAAATAGAGCACATTTTACTGAAATGTATTTAACAGTATATATATATAATGTTTTATCACATACTTGCTATTTACCGGGAAAATTAAGTACTTTTGCGAGATTGTATAATACCAATAATTGTACTTCCTAGAAGGAGATTTATTTTCCAAATCAGTAGAGTGAAAGTCAACGATCAGCAGTGTGTCAGTTGTTTAGCGATAGAACACTCGTCACAAACCCGGGTGGTCCGGGGTTCGATTCCCAGCAGATGTACTCCTGAAACTCTCTAAGGTAGTAGGAGGCGCGATTAAGAGGGATGATGGGATGTGAGGCTACCAGCCCAACAGGGCTACCGAAACTTCAAAGGTCTTGACTGAAGCTTAGTTTTCCACTCGGAAAGTTAGGGACCATTATTCAGAAACTAGACCTATACAACGGACTCCAACAGTTAACCCTACTACTGAAAGTAAAGTACTGAATTTTTACCATGCCTTAACAACTACTGGGTTTAAAATTTAACTCCTCTCCTTGCAGTAAATGATAAAAAATCGATTAACTTCACTATTAATTCCGCCTGGATGAAGTCTGAAGTGAAGCAGAGAAAAAACTAAAAGCTTTAAAACGATGATGTCGACGAATTCGGCAGGACGTAAATGAGCACTGCATTCTAAACAACAAAGGATTTGCAGACACCCTAGTAAGATGCCAAGACATGTGAGGTTCGGTGATCTGAGTGGTACTTAACTACGATTTAAGTAGGAGTTATAAAACAAATGCAATATCTGAGTGATTAACTGTAGGCCAAAACATAAGGAGACATTAGGCTGCATAAATGAAGAGCTCTGGACAAAACTAAGCGAATTTCTACATTTCCACTGTTTTCGTGCAATAAATGGTAGAGGCAATCGTAAAACAGTCAAAATCAAAGAGTTTCAGAAAAGTGGACCGTTAGGAGATCTTTCAGAGGGATATAGTTCCTAGAGAAGATGTATGTTGCCACTAGTGTTAACGAAACAAGTTCTCCAGTATGAGAAATTGGATATCACAAACAGGTAGAAGCTACTATTCCCAATTTTTGGCTGAGTATTAGTCTGCTTACCTTCTATTAATGATATAACTATAAAACTTGGGCACTGTGGTAGAGCATAACTCTATTATGGATAATATTTTATTTTGATAAATCACACAGTGTTGTACAGTAATATTAACTGGTGACGTTTCGAGCACAAACTATTGCCACTCATATTCATATCAAGTTACTCACACAACTTTTTTCCTTCATTTATGTACATGTGTGGAATCGATTAGATATTAGAATAAAATTCAATATAAAATAATGTACATTCAGAAATAATGATACAAGTGTTATTCATCAATTACAATTAGATTGGAAATAAGACGAGTGTTTTTATAGTCATAATAAGTTACTTGTTAGAATGTTGTGATGTGAGTGAATTGAAATAGAATTTTATGATTATTTATTATCCTCTTCTGATTTGACTGGCAGTAATAATATGTTCCATATTTCTGGTATCTGCATTGAGTCATTTCTGTTGCATGTGTTGAGTGTGGACTCGATGAACAAGGATTCAGTAATCAACCTCTCTCTCCACCTATCTAGATTACTTTTTAGAATTTTAACCGTCTCCCACCCTATTGTGTGGTCGTGTGTTAGTGCATACATTGCAATTGCTGAGCTTTCTTCTAAATTACTTATCTTCTCGGGGTCAACCATTCTTACCTTAGCTAAATTCTTATGTTCTGATAATCTGACTACCCCTGACCTACTAGTTTGACCTATGTAGTTCACCTAACTCACAGTCTTGCAGAGTATTTTGTAAATTATATTATTTTGTCTAATTGGGTCAACCTACAGGGTCCTTTAACCTACAGAGCTTGTCCCTGAGTGAGTTTTTAGGTTTGAATGCCACCCTAATTCCTGCCTTATATAGAATCCTACGTAGGGAGGGTTTCAGATGTCCCCTCCTTATGTGGTAAAACTGTAGATGCCTTTTATTCACTCTTATTTATGTTATCATTGCTAGTTCTACAATCATTTTTATTTTGTTTTTGGTCTTTACTGCTGTTACTAATGAATTTTATAGGATAGTTATTCAACACCAACGCTTCTTCTATCTGTTTTATTTCGTCATCAATTAATATTACAGTACAGCACTGTGTGATTTATCAAAATAAAATCTTATCCATAATGCTTACCTTTGAAACTGAATATCCTGGGTTCAATCCACGCCGGAATCGCAGAAGTACACTGCTGAAGTTTCTTAAACCACAACGAAACATATTTCCACTTTCGCCTAATTTTCACTGGTTCACTAACCGATGTTGGTTCGTAGTGAGATATAACTTCAAAATTAGATATCTATTCTGACTTGATTTCATACTAGTAAACCTGTTCTGTAGGCCCTATTAAATTTCCGTGGAAAACAGTCAGAACGTAGCGCTTTCTTTGATTCCACTAAATAAAAACTGTTGCAGAGAGAAAGAATTTTACAAAGAATTGAAGGATTAAAAGGTAAGAACAGATGTTGTAAAAAAAACTCGCCTTTGTGGTCATTGTGATATTTTCAGAACTGATATGATGAAGTGTCGTGTCTCCTTTAGAATCTATTGAGTTGAGCTGTTTCCTTTCGCTTTACATAATGGTTGAGCAAAGAGAATTTCTATTTTTTTTTCAATTATTTCCATATTTATGCATAGAATGAAGTTATGAGTGGTAGTACAAGTCGAAGTTTACGTGTCTCACGATTGACGTTAGCCTTTTTCAAAGACACTGGGTAAGTATAATTCAAAATTATTATAGACCTGAAAGAGTTCATGGTACTTGTTACCTATGAGGAAGTCATCGTCATCAGCTGAAAATCATATGCCTTAGTCCCAGAATTCTCAACATAGATTTGTCAGTAGATAGATGATTTAGTGACAATTAGAAAACGGAATGATTTCAGGCATTATGAGGTGAATACAATGGCTTCGTCTAAATTGAACTGACTGTCTTTAGTTGCATTCCTATCCATTAGATGTAACTGTCCTCTGACTCACTCTCATCATATACATGTGACGTGATCTATACACATGATGATAGCAGCATGAAATCAAGAGCTGTCTACCAAGTTTCGCATCATGAAATGACTAATTCAAGAATGTTCTTTTCTTCCTGAAATGTGCAGTCGAACAGAATGGTGAATACAATTAATTTTCGGTGATAATTAATCACAGTCAGAGTCAGTTATTTCTCTGATAGAGAATCCTAAATGCTTATTTCATGATAAAATATTGTCTAAAAGGTGAATCAAAGCTTTGCGATTCAATCATTCAGCTCAAAAAAGACAACGGAACCAGAATTACTTTTTCAATTTTACTACTAACAAGCCTTTTGAGAAAATACATATAAGTTCACGGGTAATCTTATGTTATTGTAGAAAATTTCATTACAATCCTCTTCAAACGGATGCTATTTATAGATCACTGTATATTCACTTGGTTAGATGGTTAGTCAGACAGTAAGTTAATCAATCAGTTGGTTAATTAGTTAGTCATTTCAAGGTTAGTTAGTTAGTTAGTTGGTAACTGCATCCAGTTGCTAATACTGCATCACTGTGTGATATCTGAAATAAACTTAGGTAATATGGAACTTCCCTATTAGTGATTTGCAATTGTTACACATATATGATTTATCCAGCCCTCAATCTTTAAAGATAAAGAAAAAGTTTAATAGGCTTTTTAGAGGTTAATTCGGGTGATGTCACTTGCCATGTTAATCCTTGATTGAAAGGCAGCTGAGATGCATAGAGCTGGACATGCGACCATGATATTAAGAAGGTGTTGTCAAAAGTCACTGAACGCTTCTAAGCAGACAATCGAATGAAACAGGGATGCTTTACTCGAGACCCTATGTTCCAAGGAATATCTCATGGAGTGGATTATAATTGAGTATAATATTTGAGATAATTAGTTAACACACTGAACCGTATTTTTCTTGACTAATTTTGTTTTAACACTCACCCTTAGATGGTACGATGTTGATCTGAATGCAACCAAAAATTGGGAATATGGAAAAAATTTGGGATGTGATTTTGTTATGAAGAGTTGTTATGAATACATGGAAAGGAACAGATAGTAAGATAACTTTGTACTTATATGATGTGATTTCTCCACTTACTAGTATTCCATTCACTTGATATTAGGAATTATGAGCTAGAAAACAATCAAGAAATATAAGTTGAATGTTCATTATCAATAGACAACGCTATCAAATTTAAATGGTGAATGGTGACCATCATTGGAATCCAAGATATTGCGCATTTCGTCCTATTCGATACTCGTCATCTCGATGTACCTGCATTCCCCAATGAGTGATGATGTTCCCACCGAGGCTTGAAACCCAGTGCCCATAGCTTCAAACGCCAAAGCGTTATCCACTAGACCACTTGGGAAACGAGAAGCCCAACACGATAACCTGAGATCGAGAACTTCGATCTAATCAATCGACAGGAAAATCTAATATTCAATCAAACGTTATCAAATGTTTAAAACTTTGTTTATTTTGCCTTTGAAGACATCCTTTACTGCAAGACATATGGAGTTGTAATGGGATCACCAACATTTCCAGTTGTATTCACTCTTTTACTAGAAAAGTCTAGGAAGGAATGCCCTGACTAGATAACATTTGTCATCTTAGAATATAATTCAGATTTGTGAATGACACATCAATGACGCAGAGCTGAAAAATAAAGCTTTTTAGAGCATATTAGCTCAATTTGAAACTGCCCGAATTCTATATATCAAATTGAATCGAATAAGGGAACTGTAAACCTTGTAGATTGTCTTGCAAAAAAAGAAACTGATGAAAAACTAAACTTCATGGTATACAGGAAAATGATACATTCAAGCTAATATTTGAGTTTCCAAAGTGATCATCATCCAATTAGAATGAAAATCTCAATAGCTTAAACTCTTACAAACACAGCTGGAAACATTATAAAATTAATAATGATGATAAGGGGAATTAAATCTTTAATAAAAGACAAATTTTGATTGGAAATGATTCGCCCTAATAGCTGCTGAATAGCACTATCAATAGGAAGGGTGAGAGGAGAAAGAAAATTGAAAAATTTTGGTTGTTGACTATAACGATTGCAAATCAAAATGACACACCTAGACAACTTGAAGGAGTGTTTGCTTCATATAATTTTAAAGTTTATTTCAAGCCTTCTAATTCTTTAGAGGATGTAAAAGATAAATCCCCCAAATTGATGCAATAGACCACTGTCTCGAAACGTTCAGAATGTGACGCTTGCTATACAGAAGAGTGCACTGTACAGGTTAAGGCCAGATTGAATGGATACAGGCTGTGCTCGAAGCGCCCGCCTAGAGGTGAAGTAGAATTACAGGGTCCTATAAAAAGACAGCATGTTCATATTTTAAACACGTTGGAATTATTTTGAAGCAGTTTTGTAGCACTTCATTTGTGTCAAACGCTTCTGAAAATAAGTATCATTTCGTAATTTTTAAGTTGCATAACTTTAACGTGATTCAGCCTTATATATTACCGAGACAGTAATTTAGAATCTCATTTAGTTAGTATCCTACTACGACAGACGTCTTCATTTTGTCTCCAGTCTACACCAATTATATGAATGTTAGTTGAAATAAACTAAGTCTGTCATCAAGAGCAAAGAAGAACCTTAATTCATTTTCACCTCAGAAACTTATTCCAGGCTAGAAGCTAGCAAACCCCTTCAAATCAACATTATATTACTTGATATGTAATGAAACGTATTGCAAAAAATTACCAGAGAGGCAATATCAGCTACAAGGCAGATCTCAGAAGGACATCCGCCAGATAACCACTGTAAACTATCGAATACTGGGCAGCCATTTTGTCCAGGTTTGAGGCTTATCGACAGTGCGCACTCCCCATGCTTCCGACCCGGAACCTTCACGTTCATTCAGACACTGGGACCCTATCCAATGGACATTCCTTGAATTCTGACTTCTACCAATACATGGTTTTAGTGCGACCTCCAACCGATTTCGCCGGTGAGTATTTGTCCTCACTCCCGACCAGATGGATCCCACTGGTCACGACTTCTCACTAGAATTCGAAAACCTCTCTCTGTAGACCATCACTAGCGAGCACAAGATTAAATTTCAAGAGATGGTTGACAGAAGTTAAAATTCATTGTCTGGCCTTCGAATCAAGTGTCAGAAGGTGCCGCATTCGAACGTTGGTGGGACGTGTATACTTCTTCTGAGTCCCGAACTAGTGGGAAGCAGCTGCCGAGTACTTCTTGGCTTTCAGTGGTTCTCTGGTTGATGTTTATCTGTCTTTGAACTTCATTGTGTATCTGTAGAAGATGATGCACTGAAGACTGAATTTCTAATGAAGAAATGAAATTTACTGAACCCTTTTATATCTTAAAGTGTTATTTCGGAAGTTGCCCCGAACTTTCACTGGTTCTTTCTCCCTTTTTCGGAATATTTTCGTCAGTGGAAAGTCCCTTAAACCGTACTGCAACGAGATAGGTGTGAGACGTTGTACCGATATTAAGACAAATGGAATTTGTTATATAGTAAAACACCGAAATATCCTTCCAAGGGAATTTCAATACCTTACTAGAGATGCAACTTATGGTGAGGATCCAAGATATTATTCGGGTAAACCAGGACTGTACGACTACTGTCCTCTCTACACGGTAAGTTTGTTCTCTTGTGTATTCTCATTTGTCAAGAGAAAAATAGTCAAACATAATGCGTCTAATTTAAAGCATATCTATTCTACCGTCAGCAAAAAGAAAAATCTTTTATAATTGTAGCAGTGTGCATTAATTGTTAGTGTTTGTTTTATTTAGAAAGATTCCGTACTGCCATCCCAGTATAAAGAACACCAAATTTTGATTGGATTTAGTTGAATTTACTTTAGAATCAATGTAGAATTCTTCATGCGCTGACGTTAGTGACAGAATCACTGCAAACTGCGGAGCAGTCGACTTCCTCTTCGTCATATTTCAGGACTTTGCAGTGGTTCACACCCACCGCTTGTTAAGTTTCTAACCTAGAACCTTTCTTTTCGCTAGACAAACCCTTTAATCACTCAGCCGGCAGGTTGAAATTCACTGAATTCATTCGAATTCATGGGTCGTGTAATTCCAACCCAGTGGCTCAATAATTATTGTAAGATTCCACAATGTCAAATATACTTAACATAATCACCCCTGTTTTTGAAAAATCTACTGTGGATTGGTGGATTCTGACCAGCAGTAGAATCCAGAATGTGCATTAAGTGCTATTATGAACTCGTTAGCTGGATGTATCGGCAACCCCTGTGAGTGATCGTGTTCCAAATAATGTTCGCAAGCAGTACTCATCGTTTTAAACTCCAAAGCTTTGTTTATGAAACCACTTGGGCAACGAGAGCCACCTCTTGTGCAGTTCAATTCCGATTTTCTCGTTGATTGATTGCACCAAGATGTTTGACCTCTGTTCACATGTTGGCTCCTTTGGCGGATGCATCGAAAATGCCTAAGGATTGATTTAAGGTAATTTGGTGGATAGGGTGTTTTTAAAATAAAGATATCAAGAATGATAATAATAGTAAACCTGAGAGTACTGGAGAGCTGTTTCATCCTATTTTGGGACTTTTCACGGTACGCGTCCACCGGAGTCCAGACCTAGGACTTTCTTATCACAAGGCGAGCTCGTAGACCATTGAACCACTGGAATACTATCCAATGGTCCATGAAATCCAACTTCTGCCGATTCAAGACATAGCGTGATCATTTCGTAATGTCTTCTTCAATGTGTTACTGCCTTATCTTCAACCTGCTGTACCCTACTGGTCACGGCTTCCAACTACCTGAAAAGGGCCAGTTAGAATTCATGGGCCATTGGATCGGGTCTCAGTGGCTCAAAGGTCTACAAGCTTGCCTTGTAACCAGAAGGTCCTGGGTTCGAACCCCGTTGTGTGGATGCGTACTGCTGATGAGTCTCACACCAGTGGGACGAAGCAGTTGTCCAGTACTCTCAGCTGGTTTTCCAATGGCTCTTTAACCAATGTCAGCTCATGATTAAATCCTCCATCTAATCAAACAAAATCCCTACAACACCAATACTTGAAAATAATAGTAAAGTCAGGCGATAAAATGGAGGAAAATTATGATCATAAAGTCACTCTGGCTATGGCAAGGCAAGTAAAGTGCAGAAATCCAGTTCCATATTTCGAACAGCCAGTGATTCAGCTGCGTGTAGATGGAGTATTGGAAGCCTTCTTGTCTGAAATAGAAAAACTCTATGTAACACTATGAAGCAGTCATACAGGGCTACTCGATATTTATAGCTGACAAGTTGTTTGTGCACAGAACTACGGGTACTCTTTTTACGATTTTGCCTGGCTAATCTGAACAGTGTTTCAGAATATGTTTGCAGATTATACTCTACAGGAACAAGTAGACCGATACATGCATATAGGGATGGAACAAATTTCAGCCGGGCTAGCCATTGTAGAAAAGAATATATACAAGTAGTGACAACTATTCACAAGGCCTATTCAAGTTACACGTTTATTCCAAAGTTTTTTGTGAAGAAAACGCAATAACTACAATAAAATAATTTTTTTTCTTCCAGGAAGTGGATAATTTTCTTGGAAATCCAATCACAGCATCGTGCGAAGACGAAGAGAACAATCAGCGAATGAGTAAGTGAATTACTTAAAATGCTTTGTCATCATGTCAACTTCAAACGAAAAGTAAATAAACTTCATAAATAATATTTCCACGAGTTGATCACGGATTGATATGAGTTAGAGAACCATTGAAAACCAGCACTGGAGTACTGGACAGCTGTTTCATCCTAGTTTTGGAATCATCTCGAATTGGTAGAAGTTAGAATTCATGCGTTGGCTATTGAATCGAGTCTCAGTGACTAAATGGTATACGAGCCAGCTTGCCTTGTAACCGGAAGGTTCTGAGTTCGAACCCTAGTTGGGTACGTACTGCCAATGATTTCCAAACTAGAATGAAACAGCTGTCCAGTACTCCAGTACTGGTCTTCAATGGTTCTCTAACTGATATCAATCCGTGATAAACTCGTAAAAATAAAACTAATTCTTACAAACCAACTATAGAAAATAATATTTTCATTCTCAAAAGCCTGGTTAGCAGATACAGTAGATATAACTCATTTTATTTATATTTCTTTGGATTTCAGGCTTGCTAATGAAATTACCTGAAGGATTGCGTGAACACAAATGGTATATTACCCAAATGACACATTTAAATTATTAGTATTATTCACAGTATCACAGCATACAGGTTAATAATAAGAAAAAGCTCCAGCATATTGTTTTGCCGAAGTATTCAACTGAATACAGATTGCATAGTTCTCGTCCAAAGACAGAAATGAAATAGACAATTCCTGAGAACCTAGGAGCACTTATTGTACGCATATTTCGTAAGAGTTTGGAACTCAACAGCCGTGCACCCCACCTATCCCCGACAGGGCCATGTATGTATCCAAAACAAGGACAGAACTTTCTGTACATGAATTCTTTGTATTTAGTGAGAATTGTGTTGATGTTACTTCATGATAAAATACACACAGAAATTAGTTAAAATTGCCACAAATAGAAATGACACTTGTCATATCACCTTTGCAAGAAAGAAATACATATGTATATGACATGAAAATTTTGGTTTCACAATGAGCTCAGATAGTTGATGATAAGTCTTTCCAAGCTTTCAAGGTTAGTGTTATTTTGAAGCCAGTGAAAATACCTTGCTTAATAAAGAAAATGTCTGTCTTCCATGAAGAGTCTCTTAAAGTGCTACAAAAGATTAGTGGATGAAAAGTGCGGCTTTAATACTCTATCGTGGATGTTTCATTATCAGGCTTGCATGGAATCTATAGCATCATGACTGTCAACAATTATCTTATTTTATTCTTCATGACTTAGTGGATGTATTCGAATGTTTGAAGAAATTAATGTTAGTTAGGTCTTGAAAAATACTGCTCCGCAAAAGACCGTCAAATTATGTTGTTAAGTTTAGTAACTTGCTTCATATATATTATATAAGTATTCCCTGAGGTGCCGAGAGGAATATATGGCTTCAGCAGTACTTCACTCCGTTCTCTACAGACCCTTCTAGCTGGCTGCACACCTGCCAATAACCTCTCATCTTCTATTACCTCACACCTTCTGCATGTCATTCAAGGAACCACTCCCAACTCGTCTTTTCCCACTTGTGTTTGACTCAGTGACTAGCTCGGTACGCAGTGCAACTTAGCGATCCTATCGAAGTGCCTGCTCCGTCTTCATTTCCTTAGACATATTTGCTGGGTAACAGATTCTCGGTCACTTTGTTGACAGAGCTCCTTGTTGCTTATCCCTGACCATTTGATCTTCAGGATGGAGGTAAGCAGGCAGCTGTTGATAGACGTCTGAAGCAACCTGTTAGAAATGCTTTCCGTGAAGCGTTCACCAAAAGGGGCTTAACTATGTAGAAGGAGTGATTTTACACTGGCGTTAACCACCCGAGTTTTGTTGTTTATACTGAGTGCAGATGATTTCCACACTGATCCCAGAATGATGAAGATCTGTTTTTCTTTTACAATCAGGACTGGCTTTGATATCTTCATTGATGCCATTGTCAAGAGTTGAAATGATGCTGTCCAACCAAAGTGACTCTATCGAATTTATGTCGTACACAATGATTGGTGATTGTTGTTACTGATCTATGGGTATCTACACCACCTCCGTCTACTCTATGTTTGAAGTCCTGTCTTTATTGATATAAGAATAAAACATGTGCACTGTGGTAGAGTTTAATTCCATTATGGGTAAATTTTTGTTTTGATAAAGTCTCACACTATTATACAGTAATGTTTACTGGTGACCACGTGTCGAGCACAATTTATTGCTCATAATCATATCAAGGTACTCACACGAATTCCTAACTTCATCTATATAGTTCCATCATTTTTCACTTGATTTGATTGGTAGTAGTATTTTCCATATTTCGGGTATGAATGATGAATTATTCCTATTGCATGTGTTTGGTGAAGACTCGATGAACAAGGATTATGTAATCAACCTCTCTCTCCACCTATCTAGATTACTTTTTAGAATTTTAACCCTCTCCCACCCTATTGTGTGGTTGTGCGTTAATCTGTGCATTGCAGCTGCTGAGCTTTTTTCTAAATTACTTATCTTTTCAGGGTCAACCATTATACCTTAGCTAAATTCTTATGTCCTGACGATCTGAATACCCCTGACCTACTAGTTTGACCTATGTAGTTCACCCCACTCACAGTCATTGCAGGGTATTTTGTAAATTATATTATTTTGTCTAATTGGGTTAACCTACTGGATCCTTTAACCTACAGAGCTTGTCCCTGAGTGAGTTAGTAGGTTAGCAATCAAATCAAGTGTAAATCAAGTGAAAAATAATGGAACTATATAAATGAAGTTAAGAAGTTGTGTGAGTACCTTGATAAGATTATGAGCAATAAATTGTTCTCGAAACGTCATCAGTAAACATTACTGTATAACACTGTGAGATTTTATCAAAACAAAAATTTATCCATAATAGAATTCCTGTCTTTATTGCCTCTTCTGAGAAACCTGTTAATTTTTGCATGTAGTACTTTCAGATTATCCACTAATTGGCATAAATCATTCACGAAGTTTGTATCTTTCAGAGTCTTTTTTCAGCTGTAATTCATCACAGTCAGTAACATTATCGATGATAGTAGTCAGTTCTATCTCATTCTTGTCTTCGCTTCCAAGACGTTGCTCGGTTTCCTGTTGCAAATCGATTTATTCGAGTGTTTCAAAACAAGTTACTAGCGACAGCACTCTTTTTTAAAATTTATATATACCCATCACCTTTGGCGAGCTTCTGAGTTTCATAAGTGTTTTAATGAAAACAAGCAATGAAATATTCACCAATTAATCCTACTATATAACTAGGTGTTCTTTTTACATATATGACATGACATAACACCACCTACACCTCTGTTAGTAGAACTCCCAACAGAAATACATTTCACTGTTGAACTATTGAAAGAAGCTTTTTGAAAAGTATAATCTATAGTTTTATAAGAATGAATTTTCAGAGAATAGTAGTTGTATACGCCAAACAACTTACTAGGTGTCTTTTATCGTAACGATTAGAAGTGTTGTCTCATTCACGGAACCAGACACTTTTGACAGTAAATACATGATGAAGACTTTATAATTTTCACTATTCCAAAAGAAGCAACCTCTTTCAACTACCTACCTACCAGGGAAGCATCGTTTCAACTACAGGCCAACCAAACCGATGAGGATATCAAAGAGGCGAGGATAGGGAAAGCAAGGCAAGCTTTGATTACTCTGAAGTAGGTGTACAGATGGACAGCACCCAGCATGAAATATAAAATCCGGATTTTCAACCCCAGTGTGAAGTCAGTGTTACTTACGAAAAAGGATCAAAGGCATTGCGCGTTATGAAGAGCTCCTCAAACAGACTACAGACCTTCATCAGCAGCTGTCCCGCTCAATACTCAAGCTCAGATGGCCAGAAATGATCAGCAATAGGGATCTCTGGCAATGAGGAACCAACTCAGCAGGAACCGACTGTGCAACAAAAATGCAGGAAGAAATAGAGGTGGATTGGACATACTCTGAAAAAATAAACCATCAAGTGAGTGACATCACAAGACAAGCCATTGCTCAAGTGGAACGCAAACGGGAAGCGGCGGGTTGGTCGTCAGTGCAAAGGTGGGGTTACATGGAGTAGGTCATGTGAAGTGGAGACAAAAGCATGTGGGCAGATGTGGAGTCAGGTGAAAACTTCATCAGAGAACCGAACGCAATGGAGACGTGCGACTGAAGCCCTAGGTTCCTCTAGGAAATAAAAGAAACAATAATAAGATAATAAAATAGCGGACTGCATTTTTATCCCCTATAGTTTATTACTAGAATGATAAAATTATTAAATGCACTAAGACAATAATGAAATATTTCATCTCAATGCTCAAAATACAGGTAGTATTATGTAATAATTGTATACTCCTTTTGTTCTTCTTCCTCTCTAAATATGTAGCAACGAACTATTACTTGCAGGATTTCGGGCAGCAGTCAATCTGTCTTGAGCATGGAGATCCGTGGACTATTAATTATAAATACACCTCTAATCAAATCAGGGCAACGTGTCACCGAGTATGTCATTTAAATCAAATAATACTATTACAGAATAAACAGATATTGAATTAGGTTCTTTACACACAGTTAAAAGCAAATTTGTGTGCTTATATCTACTTAATCGATTTGATTTCAGCCTTGATTTGACAACGCAAGTCACCAGAGTAAATGGTGTTGTCTGTCCTTATGCTTTAAGTTATCGCTAACGAGGAATAAGTAACTGTCTAAATGCAAGTGCCGAAGATGACTACCGCTTGCCACTCATAGGTGGCACTAATATAATTTCTTGATTGGCTTAGCTTCCCTGCTTGAGAACTGAAGTCACTTTAGCAAGTGACTTCATGTGAGCGTTTTGATTTTCGCAGAAACTAGATACATTGAATTCATTTTTCACTTCGCCTGACATTCGATCTACTGGGGAGTAAGTGGAGATTACAAAAAGACAATGATGGGTATCACAATTTTCCCCTCACCTAAATGGTCTGTTCATTCGGATGGCATACATATGACTGCACACTTGGATCTAGTTATTGATGGATTTTTCCACCATAACTCTCCATGCTATACCTACACTAGCAACTCCACGCAAAATAGAAGAAGAACCTCCTGACATCCGTTAGGTGAGATTCGCATATCCATCCTGTTGGCCAGAAAGGAATGAGTGAATAACCGCACATTGATCTTGTGTGCATGTCTTCGAAACACAACATGCATCCATGGCTTGAGGTACCTAAATTCCGGCTAGTGAGGCCCATTGTCTAATCTGTCAAGTGATCCTGAAATTGAATGCTACGATATAAAGTCGTCAGCATGGCTTTTACGGCTCTTGCAAGAAAAGGTGACTGATTATGAGGATAGCCTTTTATGCCTATGTAAGTCTGTCTTCAAAGACCGTGGTAATTGATTTCTTTTTGTAGTAACGGATACAGAAACGGTGTTAGTTTTGTGTAACTACAGAGCCCAATGGGAAAACTTCTCGATATAACCTTTTTGAATTGGGTTTTGCGAACGTCTCCATATTAAGATCTCACCATCGGCTATGGGACGTCGTAAAACAAATTGCGATGTACAGTTTTTAGTGTCAACCTGTTCTGAAGTCGCTTGTCCTCAGAATGGAGAGGCAGCAAGGTAGGCTTATTGGTCGCCTGAGGGAATCGCATTATGACGGAAACTGACATGGTACGACCTGCAGGAATATTCCTCGCAGCCTCCATACAGCTTATTAGACTTGTTGCGTTTTTTTTAAATCCGGCCAACATTGTAAGGTAAGATCCCTTGATCAAGATATGCACATATCAATATTCATACGTAAACACTAATGAATATTGTAATAATTGACAAAAAATTCAAAGATTATTCGGTCAGATTTCAACTAGCAAACCTTTACACTTTCTATAGATGAGGTTTATTCATTTTTTCTGACTTAATCAATTTCAGTATGTTTGTAAATATAAAGGAACACTGTTCCTTGATTTCCATGGGGAGGAAATTCGTTGTCCTTGGAAAGGAGGAGGGACAGAGGTTAAAATAGCCGGATGGGATGGTATTCAGTGCAAGGTGTTGTCATTTGTCCACCTGCTACTACTGTATGCCCTGTAAGTTAACAAATGTATTCATAACACGATTTATTTGACAGTTTTAGGGGTTATTGTTAAAATGAAATGAACTTATTTCAGAAAATATTATTCATGCTATTTCTCAACACATTTTGTAGTACACATCAAATAATTTCCGTAAATAGTGTTAATCCACAGGTTTTATAAAAACCTTTTCTCGCATGTACTGACAACCCTGGTTTATAAATTATAGACAGGCTAATGAAAACTCTAAGATATTTGTCCGAATTTTAATATACTAAATAATCCTACCTGTTCTTTATAGTACTCAAGGAACATAGAACAAACAAGTTCACGACTCGTTTCATAGTGTAAGTGCTCAGAAGACCAATGTGATGTTAGTATAATAACATAATTTAAAAGACTGAATAATCAACAAAGATTTTCCTGGGACCTGGGTTCGAATCCGGTGGGTGCGTATTGATGAAGAGTCCCAAACTAGGACGAAACAGTTGTCCAGTACTCCTAGGTTTACCAATGGTCCTCTAACTAATGTCAGCTCATGATGAAATCCTGAGAGATTTTCCCGTTGATCGATTGGACCGAAGTGCTTAGTCTCAGGTTGACATGTCGGCTTCTTGTGCAGATGCTTCGACGATGTCTAGGCATGTAATTTAGAAATTAATTGGTGGATGATACTAGCGGTGGAATCCAGGATGCGCATTTCTTCCTATTTGGGACTCGTCATTTGGATGTACCTGCATTCCCCAGTGAGTGATGATGTTCCCACCGAGCAAACCCAGTGCTCATAGTTTCGAACACCAAAGCATTATTTACTAAACCACTTGAGCGGCGAGAGCTATGTCTTGTGCAACAGTTCATATTGATTATTTAACTGAATTTTAGATTTTCATGTCGATTGACTGGACCTAAGTTCTCAGACTGACATGTCGGCTTCTTGTGCAGATGCTCAGACGAAGGGTTTGAGTCTCAGTGGAAACATCACTCACTGGGGAATGCAGGTACATCCAGCTGGCGGACGAGTCCCAAATAGGACGAAATGCGCATCCTGGATTCCACTGCTAGTCACCACCCACCAACTAAATACTAATCACCAAAGAATATTCCCTCCGATTAGTTCGTCATCAGCAAGTCCTAAATACTAGTCCTACACGACAGTAATAATTCAAAAAATATTCTTGTTAACAGCTTTAATATTCAAGTGTTGGTTTTGTAGAGATTTGATTGTATGGAGGATTTCATCGTGAGCTGACATCAGTTAGAGAACCACTGGAAAACCTGGGAGTACTGGACAGCTGTTTTGTCCTAGTTTGGGACTCCTCATCAGTACGCACCCACACAGCGGGGTTGAACCCAGGACCTTCTGGTTACAAGGCGAGCTCGTAGAACACTGAGCCACTGGAACCCAATCCAATGGTTCTTGAATTCTAACTTCTGCCAATTCACGACATAGCTCGACCACTTCCCAATGTCTTCTTCTATGAGTTACTGCCTCATCTTCGACCTGCTTGTGAAGTGGTCGCGCTATGTCGTGAATTGGCAGAAGTTAGAATTCAAGAACCATTGGATCGGGTTCCAGTGGCTCAATGTCTACGAGCTCGCCTTGTAACCAGAAGGTCCTGGGTTCGAACCCCGCTGTGTGGGTGCGTACTGCTGAGGAGTCCCAAACTAGGACGAAACAGCTGTCCAGTACTCCCAGGTTTTCCAGTGGTTCTCTAAGTGATGTCAGCTCATGATTAAATCATCCATACAACTTTAATATTGTTTGAATAAACATTTAGAAAACAAATTTCGCGAGATGATGCCAGTTCTTAGTTTCTTTACAACCGCTTTACAATTAACATGGTTAACAATAATAAAACAAAGATCATGACAATTACTCAGTTAAATAAAAAACAAAAGTACATACTAATGACCAATCATATTTAAAAGGTCATGTGGTCCATGGTAGGCGAAAGTTGAAGCCTATTGTATTTTGTGCATACAGTTTAGGCTGTATGTGATTAATCCAAAGTGCTTCCATCACCTTAATAACCAACCCTGAATTAGAGTTATGTGATGAAATATTGTGAAACAGTCATTAATATTGATTTTGTGTCCTGACATTAATAAGTGCTTTGCAATGGATGTTGATGGATTTCCATTCAGATTAATTAAATTGGGATTTTCTGTGTTTTAATGACCAGTTTAGAACACGTTCTTTTCAACGACACTGGAACATTCTATTGGTGTTACCGCAACTGCACGTGAACATGTAGATACAGTTTGAAGTAGAGTTCACAGAATTTTGTTCTTTAATCGTAGGTAGTGGGATTGAAAACGTTCCAGATGTGAGGGAAAGATATGCGGCTCTTCTATGTGCGTTAGATGGCTGACCGAAGTCTTTGAGCTGTCAACTGCATAATCTAGTCCGCCTTGATTGGTAGGTTAATAAGGATAACTTTCTTTGGTACAGAAGCTGACTTTTCAAGATGTAGTCTATCCTTACTGTGACAATTGATAAAGTTTTCTAGATAACTATCAGCTAATAAAACTGAATGTATATGTCGAAGCTCATCCATCAATGTGGCACTCGTACATTTGTTTTTTCGGGCCCTTGAGAACAAACATTTCACTAGGGAACGTTTGAATTAGTGCTATAGATAGATCACATTCCCAAAGCAACAGTAAGAGTGAGGCAATATGCATTAATATAACACTGCACTAAATAACCAATAAATCGATCAGGAGAATTAACGCAGAATTCATTTAGTACATCACACTATCAAGTGAAAACATCTAACCTGAAAAGTTCATCACGAAACACATGGACAAGAAAGTAGAAATGAATTCTTCTTTATTTGTCAAGAGAACGCTACAGTTCAAAGGTGATATACCAAGTGATGAAACAGTAACCAACAAGCTAAGAAAATCAATTCAAATAACGCTTGATGCCAGTCAGTCGCACCATTATATTTTCCACACATCCACTGGTGGCTCTGAGCCTGAAAGATGGAGTAACTAAGCTAGCCACATCTGAATGTCTCTATCAGTTCAGCTGCCTTTTGAAGCCATTTATATTGGCCGTTGTTGTAGGAACCTAATTTTTCGTCCTTGAGAATACCACAGCTACCAGTGTGGTTTGTTAAGTGTGTTGTAAAAACCATCAACAGTGTCATATATTGAATCCCCTCGTCCAAATAGGCCACAAAGCTAGCATTCAAGACTTCATTTGTATCATCTATCAGGTACCGATTGGATTTTCAAAGGTCTTTACATGACGAACACTTCAAGCAGCATACGCCATTGTAATTCGATTAAATCAACTGGAGCTCTGGTTTGGACTATTGCTACCCTGACCTGCAGTCCACACTATCAATTCATAAATTCTGCGTTACTTCCTTTAACGTATTTGATATCCAGTTTATTATTATACTAATGCATGTTGCCTTTCTCTTACTGATGTTTTTGAAATGAGGTCTCTAGATACGATTGATTCGATGTTGTTAATTAGAATGTAACTTGAGTTATTACTGCCATATAAATGCAGCACTTGTTGATGACGAGTTTATCGAAATGAATATCCTTTGTTCAGTGATCAGTCTTTTAAATGTTTCATGGGAATCTTCAGTCAATTAATAATGCAATATTGGTTTCCTCACAACATCGAAGTGCGATACCACGAGCTAACAACTTCGATTACCTCTAAGCTAAGGAGTTTCACATTTCAGGCAAATAAATACTTAGAAACAAAATCTAAGAAAGAAAATTGATTTTTAGACTTCTCCAGCAATACAGTCTCACAGCTCAGTAGGTACATTAACAGGCGATAGTAACATCACCTATAGCATCAACCAGCACGCATACTTCGCCTTATTGAAACAAAGAGCTGTCCTCGTAACCTAGATGCCTTGGGTTCGATCCTCGGTTCGGTGACTGGTGCATCCTGCTGTAGAGTTATAGACTGGGCTGAAACAGCTGTTTAGTGTTCTCTAGTATTCTTTAACTGATATCAATCCGCAACCAAACTTAAAACCAATCAGATCCCTATAAACTAATGCTTGAAAATATCATGAAAGTGTTTCTTACTCTTTTCAAACGAACACCGTATATTTGTAAAATCTCAGCGAAATCGAAATGTGTAATCCCAACGTTTCCTTTGACAAACTAGTTCAAACTTCTTCAGCGAAATTTATCGAAACTAACATAACAAAGGTTTGTATTATGAAAAAGAGATGATTTGTTTTTAAAATCTTTGTCCAATCATATGAGTCATGAAAAAGGTATCAACATATATAATAAACAAAATTGCATGAGCTGTGATCGAAATTTGACCTCAGACTTACAAATATTACAAATGCAATTACGAGGTTCTCTAGTCTTCCAAAAATGTGGTTAAGATACGTGAACGATGCCTGCGCCGACACGAGACTCAACATGTTGGATAAACTTTTTTCATTTTGTAAACGATATGTCAAAACAATTAAGTTTTCCAAGGAGGTTGAATCTGACGAAAATTATTTGGCTTTCCTGAACTGTTTAGTAAAAAAACAACCGAACGGTAAACTTAAAATAAACACTGTCAGAAAGATATCTAAACTGTTTTTCAGCATATCTCTTTACGAGCAAAGTAGCTGTAGCCAAGAATCTGATTAACAGATCCAAACATCTAGTTATTGAAGAGGAAGAAATCAAGCGGGAACTAGAATTAGTTCACTCCACTCTTTAGTCAAATAGTTTTCCTGAAGCCTTCATAAAAAACATCTATAATGTGAAGATAAGGATGAATCGAAACCTGTTACTAAGACTTGGTTTAGTACAGTGGGGATTCCTCACCACAAAGAAACGTCGGATGAGATTTAGCGAATCGTTAATAATCATGACATAAGAGTGTATTTTTGTGCAACTAACACCTAACGCTAATCACTGGTGAAGGTTAAGGATAAAACAGAAGTAGGATACAGCAGGTTGAAGATGAAGCAGTAACTCATAGAAGAAGACATTGGAAATTGGTCGAGCTATGTCGTGAATTGGCAGAAGTCAGAATCCATGGACCACTGGATTGGGTCCCAGTGGCTCAATGGTCTACGAGCTCACCTTGTAACCAGAAGGTCCTGGGTTCAAACCCCGCTGTGTGGGTGCGTACTGATGAAGAGTCCCAATTTAGGACGGACCAGCAGTTCATTACTCTCAGGTGTTTCAGTGATTCTCTAACTGATGTCAGCTCACGATGAAATCCTCCATGCAATCAAAATAGAAGAAGACAACAAACAGAAATATGTATGCCAGATCAACTGTGAGGAGTGTTACGCTGTAAATGTAGGAGAAATTTCCAGACAGATAAATATCAGAGTAAATGAGCATACGCATTGTCTACAGGTGGTTCCAGAGACCTCTGTAGACTTTAAAAAGCTAGAATACAGATCGGCGATTTCACTGCACTCGATAGTAACGGGACACAATACCAACTCTGATAGGACTAAGGTTCTACAGAAAGGTTTTGGTTCGTATAAAGACTGACTGACTGACTGACTATAGAAGCCCTACGTGTTCGTATGAATCTAAAAAGTTTGAGAAGACGTAAAGGTGTAAAGTTAGCTGACTGATGCATGGCGAATTCTGATTCATAAATAAAAATGGATATGCATCACTAATCAATCATACTTGATCTAAATTCCTGACTGTATATATCTTCTGATCGAGAGGCTAATAAATGATTAACTATTGTTTCCGCATACAAAATGCACATACCAGTGAATACCGCAATACCTCAATTATTTTAGAACAAATCGACCAAATCTTGATCACAGTTCATAATAACTCCGTGTACTGTCTTGATTATCCTGTATTAAGGAATTCACTTTTATTTTCTTTGTGGTATGTGTGTATTATTGTCATTTTAGCAACGGGTTAATGGAACACAATAATATGAGAAGAAGAAGAACCATCTTACAAATCCAAATGGAAACGGAATTACGTAATCGTGTAACACTAAACCTTTCCCAAATGACATGATCCCGTTTGCGTGGCTAAGGGAATATACATTCGCTTTCAATAATATTAATATTGACAATAATAATAATAATCATGATTATAACAATAATGGATTTATTTTAAACAAAATGTTAACTCATAATACAGAAGTTTTTGGTGTAATCAAATTGCGAATTATCTACTCATTGTACACGATGTTCAAGTAAAGTGACATTAGACAGTACATTGTATGACTCTGTTCATTCGTTTATTTTTGACAAATGGGTGGGAAGGTTCCAGAATAATTTCCGGTCAAGCTTCAAATTAATAAAGTTACAATTAGGAATTAAAATGCTATAATAAACAGGGTGGATGGATAAAACTCAAATAATGTAGCATCATAATTACTGAGAAGATTGACCTATTAAGCAACTGTGGGTTAGTAATGTACAAATTACAAAAATAGACAGGATGTTTGGATAAAAAATCTAGTGGTACCGTAACTAATTTGACGAATAATTGTTTATGCCATGAGGGATTAAATATGTAGAAATAATAAAATGACAAAATAGACAGGAACCGTGGATATGAAAATATGGTAGTGCAAATAGGGATTAATAAAAACTTCAAAATATCATGAATAAACAGGAATTTCGGATAAGAAAGGTAATGGTATGATCATTACTAAAAGAATCACCCATGGCAGGGGCGAGGGTTGGACGTGTTTCTTTTGGATGCATAGCGTGAATTTGAGCTTTTGGATAGGTAGTGCTTCGGCTATGCCCAGATGTCTAGATTTTGCTCCCTTTGATAGATTTGATCGAATCTTGTATATGACTTTGAAGGGTTTTTTGATAGGCACTGAGTATCCTGAATTGACCAGATGTTCTGTCACTGAACTATATACACTTTTTCGCTGTCATTTTACTACCCAGGCTCGACAGTGTTCACGAGCGCGCTTTTCAAGTTAGCGCATGGTACAGCCGATCTACACAGCCCCACACGAGCAAGTAAACTGGTATATGCATGTTGAAGTGGTCCAATGAGGCAGCTTATCTTTCGCGTTCTGGTTGAACAGTTTCTTGCAGCAAAACATCAGTTGTAGGCTCGCGGCAAAGTATGTTTTCTTCAGAGATTTTCAAAGGCGTTTACGAAGGATTCCTGCTTGAATGTCACCTTCGAATTCTTGATTAAGCATAAGTATCTTCTTCGGGACGGACTGAACTTGTTTGGAAGTCTTCTTTGATTTGAGATTCTTGTCTATGTACCTGGGCGGAAGACCAATTTCTATCAGGGTTCAACGGAGACGTTTATGTGTTATACTTTATGGGAATTTAGGTAGACCGCTGATTCCAGCAAGCCACCGTATATTTGTTTTGACCAAGATAGTAAAAAGTGATAATAACCACATACTTTTCTCTGTGACTTTATTATTCACCATTCATTTTTACTAAAGTGAAGGTGACAGAATAAAGCTTATATATATATAAGACTTCGGCACTGAGAGAGCGTGGAATTCCTTACAAATTTCTTTATTGAATATATTATCCAGTTGTACGGCTTTATTCCCTGGACAATGACGTTTTTAAACAAAGCTTATTGTTCATAATCATATTCGATGAAAGCAGACAAATTCGAAATCCAGTTTCAATAATTCTTGTTGTTTCTTCTTTACCATTTGTCAATAAGGTGGTAGAATTTTCCATATGTCTCGAACAGAGATTGAATCATTCTTATTTCACGTACTGTAAGTTGATTCGAGAAATACAGTTATCACTCAGTTATCAGTCTCTATCCCCACCCACTAATAATAAACTTTAAGACTGTCACCATTGTCGCATCCTGTTGTATAGTTGTGTATAACCGCGTTTAGTCTGTTGGCGAGCATTCTTCTAAATTCCTCTTATTCTATATTTCTCTAAGTTTCTGTGCTTTGCCAGTCTAATCTGTTTTAATGGAGTGTTAGTGATTTTTGTGGTTGTCAGTTAACTTTACTAGAATATGCCTCCAAGCACCGCAGTATGGTCAAATGATCACTTGAAATATTCCCCACACAGAGATAGACACAGCGGAAACATTTTCATCATTCGAAATACTGGCTACATATAGAGAGTTTTCAGACCTCGGGATCCTTCAAAAATCAGTCAATCAAAACTGTCCAATTAGATTATCATGTCAGTACATGCATCAATCATGACCTAGCACGCGATGTCATTCAATGTTATCCTCAGCGTGTGTCTGATCCATCACCATTTCCTTCGGTATATTTGTGGAGCAGCAGATTTCTGACTAGTCCGTTCCCGGAATTTCTTGCTTCAGGTTCATTCAGGTCATCTGATCTTCACTATGGAGCCATCTAGGCCAGATGCTGATTAAAGTTTGAAGCCTGTTTAAAATGATTTTCATGAAGCTCCAAGTTTCTGACTCACTTGACATTGGCGTTGAAAATCCAAAATCTATTGTATACTCTGAGTACAAGGGATCTCTAGACTGACTTGAGAGTGTTGAAGGTCTGTCTGGCTTTTCGAATTCTTGCTGACTTTGAATCTTCATCCCGACTGTATTCTGCAGTTGAAAAGATGTTGCCTAGATAAGGGATGGAAGTAAACTCTTTCAAATTTCCTTGGTTGGTGATGATTTCTGTTTACTGGTATTGATTGATTATCTCCATCACCTCTGTCTTCTACACTTTTAATTCAAGTCCTGAATTTTCTGCTGGCATCTTCTGGCAACTCGTTGGTTTTCGCCTGTACATCTTCTGATTTATGTGACATTAGATGGAAATCATCCCTGAAGTTCAGATCTTCTAGTGTCTTCTTATCAGTCTGACGTGCTCCCGTCTTTTCACATTACTACGCATCATCCAGTCCATCGCAATTAGAAACATCATTAGTGGTAGTAGTCAGACCTGTCTGACTCCTGTTATCACTTCAAAAGGCTTCATTGAGTCTTCCCTTGTGCGTCGTCTGACAACTGACATTGTCGTATAACTGCTGGATGATGTAGATAAAGATTCGAGGTATAAATTACACCTAAATAACACTAAATTCACTTGCATATTGTAATACTGTTTTGCTACCTGAAGTTCTAGACTCACTGGAGCGTGAATGTGTTTGGCTATCGCCAAGAAGCATTCATAATGAACTACCAAAACTACTAGAAGCCTTCTTCAACTTTCAAACATTCACCGCCACAAGATAAGAGTGGTCTGAAGTACTAGTAAGTTTATTCTCAGTCACCTAGAATAATGAAATTCTGAGATCTGGTGTCAAAAAGGACTATATGCGGAACTGATCTTATACAAGTCATCAAAGACACAGAGAACGCTAGCTTGAAGATTGTTAAAATATTTCAGTAATCCCACATAATAGTACGCTGATTCATGATCAGTTTACAGGAGGAAGTCAAAAAGACCTTCTTGTTATATAAACTCCATGAAGCACAAGACCCACACAACTCACTCTTGTCTCTTTTTAAACATAAAACGATGCACTTAGCATGGAATCAATTGGAAATTTTCGAAAATCATGAATAACTGACCTACATAGCTTTCAAAACGCAGGCCAAATAAATTCGTGAAGGTCAAATTGATTTCTTTTCAGGTTGTGACCAAGTGTTAATTTTCTGCCAAATGTCTGATTACTGTCAAACGTACAGCGTATATTTTAGGGATGTTGTGTTCTTGAGCATAGGTGCTCATTGAAACTGTTTTGAAGAGATATCCCTGAGACGTTGATATGTATCCACATATATATATTTATGTGTGTGTGTGCATGTTGGTCTCTCTTTCTATTTGCTCGGTTAGTCTGTGACCACTTCACTTGTATGGACTTGTCTCCTTTAATAATGTGTATTCTCCTTATATTATATTATATATAATATGAGTGTTTGTTGACAGTCCGTTGCTTGGTGACATATATCCATATATGTTTGTTGGCATGTCTGCTATATTCGCTATGTATAATTGGATCGACACTCCATTATAATTAGCCATTCATGTTAAGACTGTCTAATGATTTTTCCCACGCTTGTCTGGAACATTCATATATATTTCGCATTCACAATCTTGTGACTTTACTTTTACTTACTTACTCACTTTGGTGTGAGACCATTTATTTTCGTCTCCTTGTGTTTGGACAATAAAAGTATCATCGCAAACCTAGTGGTCTTCTGATTTCCGCCTTCTCGCGTCAGGACAATTAGTTTCTCGACCAGTCCATAACAATAATTTAGCGACGAGTACATAACAATAATAACTTCCATATTTCTGGTATTTGCATTGAGTCATTTCTGTTGCATGTGTTTGGTGTAGACTCAGTGAACTAGGCCATATTCAATAATCAACCTCTCTCCACCTACCTAGATTACTTTTTAGAATTTTTACCCTCTCCCACCCTATTGTGTGGTTTTGTGTTAATGCATGCAGTGCACTTGTTGAGCTTTCTTCAAATTGTTTATCTTCTCGGGATCAACCATTCTTACTTTAGCTGAATTTCTTATGTTCTGATTATGTCACTACTCCCGATCTACTAGTTTGACCTATGTAGTTGAGCTAACTCACATTCATTGCAAGATATTTTGTAAATTATATTATTTTGTTTAATTTGGTCCACTGGGTCATTCAGCCTACAGAACTTGTCTCTGAGTGAGTTTTTAGGTTGGAATGCCACCCTAACTCTTGCTTTATTAAGAATCCTACGTGGGGTCCAAGATGTCCTATCCTTATATGGTAGAACTGTAGATGCCTTACATTCTACCTTATTTATGTTATCATTATTAGTTTCCTCGTAATTTTTATTTTGCTTTTGGCCTTTCTTGATGTTCCTAATGAATTTTAAAGAATAGTTATTTAACACCAACGCCTCTTCTTCTATCTGTTTCATTTCATCCTTTAGGCCTTCTGAATTATTTATATATATTCGCATTCACAATTTGTGTGAACTACTTTACTTTACAACTACTTGACTTGCTTACCACTTTGGTGTGAGACCATTTATTTTCGTCTCCTTGTGTTTGGACAATAGAAGTATCATCGTAAACCTAGTGGTCTTCTGATTTCCGCCTTCTCGCGTCAGGACTATTAGTTTCTCGACCAGTCCATAACAATAACTTAGCGACGAGTACATAACAGACGTTTAACGCTATTTGGAAAAATCTCTACAAAGGAGTGC